GGTACATCAAGCTCTCTGACAAACACAAAGATTTTCGAATGATTCCCGCGATGAATGTACACGGATGAAAATGATTTTGAGAAACGTATACCATACAAACCCGGGATGATAAGGAATTCTTGCTATTCAAAGGAATATTTGAATACTGTGCATATGCACAAAATCGAGTCTTACAGGGCACAGCGTAAAGTGTACTATGTTCAACTGTATCTCGACAAATAAGGGAAGTATTTCAAATAACCTAAGAAATATAGAAGTATCAGGAAATCTCAGTACCTACAAAGAGAAAGCTCCCCTTGAGAAATATCATAAACCAACAAACAACAAAGGTAGATGTACTAACAAAAATATAAAGGAGAATTTTACGAATTCATAAAATCAATCGGTAACAAAATTTTCCTCCGCATTATTAGGCGTTCGATGATTCGAACCAGGCGCAACAATAAGAACACTCGGTACTTGAACGCAAATAGGTTGGGTAAGTAAGAGGACCCGGCAAAGAAGATTAAAGATGTCAGGGAAAAAGAAATCGGTCGGGCCAGACGCAAAGCACGCGAACGTACATTGTAAATCCTCAGTTAAGATGGCCGGTCTTAAACGGGCGATCGGCCGCTTCGAAAGGTAAATCGCCGACAATCGGGAAGAGGAACCCGGCCGTCCCGTGAATAGAACGTCGCCAGGAACTTGAATGACTCGGCTATTCCGAGGACTCGAGGAGGAATTCCGTTCGGAAATCTTTCGACGCGGCCCGATGTGTACGAGCCCGTGCAAATAGCACGCCCCGGCTCCGAGACACGAGTATCGCCTGGAATGACGCTTTTTCCATTTACATGCTACGGGACATTTATAGAAGCAGACGTTAAGAAGCGTCGCGTCGTCTCGCGGATCCTCTCTCCTCGTATCGCGTGTACGAATCACTGAGCATTACACGCTAGAACGGAGCACTGTGCGTAAATGCGCGCAAGCATAAATTACGCCTCGAGACCCGATTATCCAAACGACTTTTATGTCCGCCTTGAAGAGCGACGCGCGTCCCGCGCTTCGTTCCCGAAGACGGATGGAAACTCGACGGAATTATCTCTGCCTAAAACTTAAACGAGAACCGACACGCCGCGAACCCGTTCACGCTTCGCGCATTTCAATGACAAACGAATTTAAAGAGCACCAAAGTGGAATAACGAAGGGTTGCGCTTTGTCGGAGGGATGACACGGGTAAAAATTCCTTCGAAAGAAACGCCCGCGTAGATGACCGCGTGCACTGTACGAGCGGTAAAGGTAAGGGAGACAGGTCTTTTCCCCGAAGGTAATTTGTCGCGAAAACCTTGGCGCGCAATCCGAAAGCAAAACACAACGTCCGACAAACGATGTGTGCGGAGGTTTTTGCGCTTGTGCGTGTACCCGGTCGGCCGTCCGCTCCGGGAAAATATTTCACATATTTTTGTTAGGAATTAATCCAGCCCGTAATACTCGTTGCCCGGCGTGTTCACCGCTGAAAATTCTCTTGACAAACAACCCTCTCGGCCGCGTTCACACTCCCGGCACACCGAAGGGCGCACCGCGCCGACACATTGTGTTGTATTTGTACGTTTTTCCGCGAGCGTGTATACACGCGGCCCACGTGTATGCCCACACGCGCAGGAAAACGCGTGGAATGGCCGACGAAATGGTCAACGGCGACCTCCGTGCTCTCCTCGACACCTCTCTCCGCAAACCGTCCCCGTCGCACGCGTACTCGCAGCCCCTGAATTCCTCAAGTTTGCCCAGGGACAGAAATTAGTCGGAGCGACGTAATTGCTCGAACGTATGCGTTCGCCCGTTAACGTTATGGCACCTCTCATTACGGTCCTAACAGCAGCTGACACAAGCGGCGGACGGGTTCATCCCTCGTGCACGGTTTATGGATCGCGGTCACAAAAATTTAAGCGTTCCCATGGGAGAACCGGGAAAAATTTCATGGTAAATCCGCCTTCTCTCGAGATGGCGGCGGCCCATCTTTCGCGTAAGTTTCGTTGCGTTTTGTGAGACAGAAAGGGAGCCGATAAAATTGTGAAGTGGTTTTGATTGAGCCGTTTGATTGGACCGTCGAATGATCGAATCTTCAGATATTAGTTTGCCGGGGAAGATTTTCTTTCTTCGAAGCTTAAATAATATCGTTCTCGACGTTCCCATTATACATTTTATGAAGAGAAAGATGAAAGGTCGGGGTGAAGTGGATTTTTTTATTGAATGAGTTGCTTGGAATCCGGTAGGTAATCGAAGCTTTAAGAGAAAACGCTATGTAAGGAACGCTTCTTTTTCTTCGAAAGATAAATGATTCGATCAATAATGTTCTTTGCTGAAATATAATTCGACCTCTTTTTGTTTTATTTAAGCTATTGAACGCGCACAGGAATATTTCAACGAAATTCTTCGGCCGATTTGATTTTTGTAGAAATTGCATATTTGATTTGCCATGAAATGGCATGTCTCTATGAGCATGGAGTTCTTATTCACAAAAATGGGGCATGGAGTATAAATATCGTTCGCGGGAAACTGAGTGAGATACATTGACGCCGCTAAAACCTGAAACTTTAACTACGGCACATTTGCCAGGAATAAGAATCATACGCGGGAAGGGGGAAGAGTGATATTTACGAAGAATCGGAGTGAGAAATTGTTTCGACGGTTAATATTCCGGTTGATAATGCGAATCTACGACGACTGAACATCATTTTGGCACAGTGGTCCCAATTTCGTTGCTATCGTTACTCGAGATTGACGCGGAGAGTGAACACCGGCACATTATTGTCATTCCATTGGGTCATCCCGTTAGTCATGATTAAGCAAATTTCATACCCGAGCTATTAATATTATAGCGGTTGACCGCGCGACGTCCACAAAATTCCCCTGGCTAGTATAGAATGCATATACTGACCCCGACAACTACCGCGACTAGCAAACTTCCTGAAGTTGATTAAACCGGAAAGAGCTTCGACGGCTCGCAGTCGCGTCGGTGTCGGCTCGGTGACGGCTTCGTTCCACGAGACGCAATGATTATTACTTAAAGCAGACCTGGACAAAAGCGTAGGACTGGCCAGAAGAAGGCAAAAATCGGGAAAACAATTTGTTACGCCATGAATACATGCGCACAGGTTTTATGCTTTAACGTAGGTGTTTAAATTCGTCCACAAATGCTTCCCATCACAAAAGCATAGAAGAAATAGTAATAAAATGTGCCAAAACGCGTTCCGGGGAGTGGTTATTGAGAGAAAACGATGAAATTTAATTCACTAATATGAAAAGAGAAAAACAGACTTTATACATTATACTTCTTTATTTTGTCTCTATATTTGTATTAAATTCCGCTGTTTTCTAAATTTTACCACTCTCGAGGTAAAGAAAACTTTTATTATAATTTTGAAATTTGTACGTTTTATTAAATAGATATTTAGCAATACGTGCGAACTTGAAATACTACCTAAAAGTGTAATATGCATTTCTGTTCTGAATATTTTTTTGATAAAAATGTTATGCAAAGTTAATTATAAAAATGTAAAGTTTCGAACACTAAAAAACAATCTTAAATTTATGAATTATTGATAAATAACGTGGAACACGACACTAAAATAATGGATGGGATGACATGGGGAAATCTCTCGGCCAGACAAAAAATTCAATAAGTCATAACAACTCTTCTTGTGTTATCAATAATACCAGACCTGACATTAAAATAATAGAAATTTGAACTTCTAGAAAGAAAATTTCATTTCATACAATGTTTATTTGAATATTAAGTGTATAATGCAGAGGTGTCTAATTTATTAATACCCTTTTAACAGCGTTTCCCCACTAACTCTACTCAAAGAGCTGTCTGAGACCACAGATGAGGTATAAAAGAGTTGTAATATACAATATAAAATTTTGACACGCGCTCTCAGGGGTACTAGTACTCCTTACCATTTTCATGGCACGCCCTGTCATATCGACTAAGGCCGGTTTTGCATGGCAATGCTATAAGTGAAAGGAATGAGAATCAAAAATATTGAAATTTTATATGACAATCAATGACAAAAGTAACGTCACGACGTGACGTTTCAACAGTAAAATAACACAATAACATAGAACAACGATTGATAGACATTGAAACACAGTTGAACAAAAAGAAGAATAATTTCAATATTATTCATGTATAATTATAAAAATAATGTAGAACAGTCAGATAAACGATTACCAGGATATAGAAAATAAACAGATTTCAATGACCTATTGCCTATAAAAAATAAAAAATATATTACATACTTGATTATTTGCATTTATTTAAAAATGTTAGAAAGTGTCCGTAAAAATAAAATATTTTTATTAATCTTTCACGTTTGAAACAAATTTCTTTACTCTTGAGTCTAATAACATGAAATGGTAAGAATTCTTTTAACCGTGCAAGAATTGGCTAATGAACGGGTCATTTACTGCGAATTAATAGAGATATTAATAATACAATCAAATCATTGATTACAAAAAAACTACGGAAAAATCGACGAGTCGAGTTGAGAATTATTGAAGAAGCAGAATGACATTTCATTTCGGTCAGAAAGGAGTAAGTAGCTTTATTAACTTTGCCTTAACAAGGCTGTTATTTCATTTTAGAAATTCTCTCGAGGAATATACAATTCATTTTTTGTATCTCCGAGAGATTTCGCTTGAGATCACTGTATCCACTCACTAGAGTGCCCGCGTAACATTCCCCTTACGAGAAACTACCCTTATCATACCTACATTTATCCGTTTGATTAAGACTAGAACTACCGAACAGGCAAATTGATTTTTTGTTATTTGACTATAAGAATTATAAGAATGCGTTTATTGAGATTTCAGTTGGATTATCTCTCATCTTGCATGTTACTAATAGAGTTACTTCATAATTATCTTCGAGTAGCATTTGTATCTTTTCAATAGTTATGAAAAAAGAAATCAAAAATGGGTCATTTTGACTCATCTGTCAGTACTGATGTTAAACACTACATAAAACTACTAATATACGTATTTCGAACAGCTTCCAGAGCAAAGGTAGGGGGGGGAACGCTGTTTTCGAGTTACTAGGTATAATGCAATTGACGTTGGAGGCGTGAAAAGATTTAGAATTTTAGAAACTACCCTTAAATATGTTAACAAACCAGATTACTAAAACATCAACGTAGTGAAACGTACGAAAGAATACGAACACGATCTTTCTGCGTACATCTCTGCCCGAAAGTCCATTATCTGCTTAAAATAATGGCGTTCATAACAAGAAGTTTGGGACATTTGCATAAAATATATTACGGGAGGACAGAAACGCTATACTCTAAACTTCTTCAGCCAATTATTCGAATACCTGTTTGTCAAACAGGGCAATTGTATAATTACAACACAAAAGGTACGTATAAGCAGAGAAACATAACCTTACGTAACTGAAGCATGCATCTACATGTTGGAAATTTAGTGGGAAGTACTATAATTAGTACGCGTAATGAAAGAATATCCTTATCCTTGTTAACAAATGATGATGCCTTTTTCATTGATTTTGAAAATACAGTCTTCTTCATTCGTTTTTTGAACAAATATCTTGATCCAAATAATTCTTATATTAACTATGCCTTTTTTTGCACAGCACACCGACCAAAAATAACAAATAGTTTAACAAATATACAATTAGCTCGTACTGTTCAATCCTTAGCGCAGAATGCTTTTGATAATAAAAATGTAGAAGAATCAAAAGAAGATGCAGAGGAAAAGAAAAAACGTGCAGAGTCCATTAGAATGCTTAAATATTCTTTCGCATTTCTTGGAGTAACTCTTACTTTTGGATTGTCTTACACTATTTATGATTTGACAAAAGTAAAATACGATGAACAGGGAAATATAATTGAAGATGAATATTCTAATTTGCCACTCTTTGAAAGAATATATAAAAGACTCAAAAGAGAATATACTTATTACACAAAGGTATGAAATTCTTTATTATAATTTACTTATATACACTGTATGTATTTTTCATATTTATGTAAATGTACATGAATTCTTTTTATAGATGGTTCAAGAGCCTAGCAGGGAAAAGCTGCTTCCAGATCCTCTTAAATATCCTTACATTCAACCCCCTTATACTTTAATATTGGAAATGAGCGATTTTCTTGTACACCCTGACTGGACGGTATGTTAAATTTTAATCAAAATGTGTTTGATTTCTTTATCACAGTTACTTATTTTATTTATTGTATCATAAGTATGAAACTGGCTGGAGGTTTAAAAAGAGACCTGGGGTAGACCAATTTTTAGAGGCTGTTGCGCCACCACAATTTGAAATTGTAGTATATACTGCTGATCATGGTATGGTAAGTAATATAAATTGTTCTTAAATAAAACATTAACTTACATAGTTTTAGCATTTCATTTGTTTAATGTTATTTTTAGACTGTCTTTCCAATTTTGGACATTTTGGATCCTAATGGATATATCATGTATAGATTAGTGAGAGATTCAACACGTTTCATAGATGGGCACCATGTTAAAGATCTAGATGCTCTTAATCGTGATCTCAGTAAGGTAAATTATTCAACTTATTTTTAATATTTTATTATCTAAAAAGAAATAAACAGCTTACAACATAATTTACTTGATGCTGTATCAGGTTATAGTAGTTGATTGGGATCCAAACAGAACAAAATTACATCCTGAAAACACATTAAAGCTACCACAATGGACAGGTAATGACGATGATACAACATTGTATGACTTAGCTGCATTCCTCAAAAGTAAGTCTTCATAAGTTTTGGAAATATTTTATATATATACATAAGATATAAGATATATATATAATTATCTATATTATTTTAATCTTATTTCACAAATTCTTTTCAGCTATTTTAGCTACAAATGTAGAAGATGTACGGGATGTCCTGAATTATTATAGGCAATTTGATGATCCACTACAAGTTTTTAGAGAAAATCAGAGGAAGTTAGCTGTAAGTATTTGCACTTGTTCATAGTAAATGAATTTTTAAATATTTTAATTAATTGTAATTGTTTTAGACGCAAATGGAAGAGGAAGAAAAAGCGCAGCTGGAAAGTAATAAAGTACTTACTTCAAAATGGAAATCAACTTTCCTTCAAAATCGTTAAATCCAAATAGAAAATAGAAAATTGTAAAATGTACAAATATTATGAACTTTCATTAACATATTCATTTATCTTACCAATGCACATTATTTGTAATTATTGTACAATGTTTTCTATAAATAAATAAACAAGTCATCTGTACACTCAAATCATTACTTCATAATTTTATTGCGTTATTTTATTAAAAATATAATTATCTTTATAAATAAATACATAAATATCATATCTTTCGTTTTTTTCGTACATGTTCCTTCTTCTTTGGACGGGATTTAACTTTCGGTAAAAGTAATTCTTGTAACGCATTACTGTCATCTAAGCAGGTTATATCTATTTCTTGTGATACACTTATTAATTCTTGCGTATTAACTGGTGTTGCTACATTCTCCAATTCTTCTTGAGAGAATATTGTTGCTTTAGTATCTGCAGATTCCAGCCAACTTAAAACTTTTTGGTGAGGTGCTGCTGTTAAAGGCAATGGTACTTCTTCACATATATCCCACACAGCTAGTAGTTCCGGTGCTAATATATCCATATAAGAATTTAATTTTTCAAGGGACTGTTTCCAACTTGGTTCAAAATCATTATCCGTTTCACCGTCTTTACACTTTAATCGTAACTTTTTATTTGTAAAACCTATAAAATGTAAATACTCATAGCATCATTTTAATGTAAAATGTTCAAATAATACATTAAACTTACACTCATAAACATGTTGCATGTTTGATTTTTCAGTTATTGTTAAAGGTGATAGTGCGTCTGTTTGTGAAGATACTACATTTTCCCATGTACTCAATATACAATATGACTTGCAGTTAATAGGTGAATATTTGTCCAATGGAGTGTCATGTGTTATACATTGATAATATATGTCTCCTGAAAAATATATTTTCACAATATCTTTTATCAAACTAATATACATTTCAAACAAATTACCTAATAATATCCATACCGATTGAATTTTGAAGAAACAAGAATATATTTTCACTTTCGTTTTTTATAATTACAGAGCCTACATTACATAATTCAAATCTATGTTTCAAGTATGGATTCAAACACATTCCTTGTAATTGAGATTCATTCAACGTTTCCATGACATGAGAAGGTGTAAATGGAAAATTAAACGAATGTGAAGTTTCATTACTTATCCAAGTATTTAAAAGTATTGTAGTTTCAGTAGGTACTTGACTAGACAAAACAATAAATTCCTTGTCCTCTCTGTAAATAATCACATATTAATCTGTTTCCTGTATACTTATATTTAAATATATATCTATTTATATCTTTTAATACTTGTTCACAGTTTGACCCATTAGTGGTGGATTTTTAAACTGATGAGTCCATTTTTGTTGTACACATTGTTTTGGAGAACGATTATCACACATCAGAACACTATGGTAAGTCCCTATATATCTACAAGAATGATGTCTACTTTCAATATCTAATGTAATATTTTCACACTTTTCCAAAAATGGCTTTGGACACAATGATAATGCCGGTTTATCAAATGGAATCTATGAAGTATAATAATATTTATTATTATTCACACATAAAACATCTAATAAGAGTCACTTTGTACTTACCCTAATATCAAGGTAATGAAGACAACATCTATCTACAAATAAAATAACATTTGGATCCATCGTATCAAATTTTACACTTCCCCATGAATCATCCAGTACAGTTGTTTGCATTACAGTGTTATTACGTATATGTTTCCTACAAGTATAAAAATAATAGTTTTATATATAAACAAATATGTATTCAAAGACTGTAATCATAAGTAATATTTACATTTTAGTTACATCCCACAGTGTCACACATCTTTCTACATTTACTGTACAATACTGATTAAAATTAAATAAACTTAAATCTACGCTAACTAGTGGGACTTCTGATGTTTGCTTATGAATTTCAGTGAGATTCCATTTAGTATTGCGTTCTGATAATATGTAAAAATTACAATGACTCTTGTATCTACCCAAAATCATACCTAAAATATTGATGAAAATTTAATACTATTCTGTGTAGTACAATAATATTGATATTATCATAAACTTACAGGAGTCAACATTAATATTATGTTTCAATTCAAATAATGAACCATCAAGTTCACATTTAGTTGCTTTTTGAAATATTGGTTTCCAGAGAAATTCATCTATATTAACAATAGGTGCAGCAACTGTAAATAGATTAAAATCAGACCATAAACACTTTAAACGTGCAATACAAATGACCAGTTCAATAATAATACCTAATTCACTCATGAAAGGAAAAAGTAATATATTCTTATCATTTATTTGAATTTGATCTACAGATCCACCAGTGAAGTACCAATTATAAGCCTAAAATAAATTTCTATCAACTTTTTTAAATTTTTCTTTTAAGTCTTACTTCTACTTACAAAATTTTAATTTGACATACCCCTTTAAAGTACGGATCTGGATCTAGATCCATAATTTCTGCTACAACAGCTACATATTTAGGTATTTTAGCAGTAACTGCTTTTCCTGTTTGTTGCCATTTTATATTTTTTTTATATGTTTGTCCTAACTCTGCAAAAATTTATGTTCATTTATTTATAAATTGTTTAATTCATAAAATTACTATATTACCTTTCTCATGTTTGAGATAATAATGCTTCAGTCTTTGTAGATCATCGTTCATATGATCCTTAACACTAAGCAGTTCTAATACAGGATCTTGTTTATTTAACACTGCATAATTAGAAATAAATATTATTAAAATTACGTAATGTAATTTTATTTTATTTTGAGATAACTGCTTACCACTTCTTGGAATTTTAGCAGGAGGTAATAATGGTCGTGGTAGATCACAATAGTAAGGATACTCTTGATATTGTTCAACAATATTTTCCAAATCAACATCATCCAACGAGAAATCATTATGTAAGTTATATCCTGGTACCAAATAATGTGGATAATTTTTTAAACATGTTCGATTTATTCTATCCTTTAAGTTTGTCTCAGCTCGTTTGTATGCTTTTGATGTTAAAATACTTTGATCCTCTGTAGTATTATCCACCATTGTATTATCCTCCATTTATTTATATAAATATTAAACTATTTTTATACTTAAAATGTGTATATAAGAAAGAATATAACTACTTCTCTTTAACATTCATGCTACATTAAATGATTATACGTCACAATAACATTTTAATATTTGTTATACTAATACAAAAATATTCACAATGCATTGTGCTGTCAATGTTTTGGCACGTGGTCTGATTTAGTCAGTATTTGATTTGGTGCTCCTTAATGTTCAACCACAGATAAGGTATAGAATAGATTTAATACGTAATGTATTTTCTACCTTACGTAAATGTAACACTTAAAGTGTGTTAAGTTTATTATACGATTCATTGAAATTATCATTTACTTTCCGATTTTATTAGAAGAAAATACTTCACATTATTGAATACATGGTTTCAAAAAATGTTGGATATTACAAGCAGATATCGTGATCGACCTAACCTAACTATACCCACTTCTCAATCATATCATTATAATAATAGAAAATTATTTATTAAAAATAAGATGATCGACAATTATTAATGCACAGGATATATTCGGGGGTTTTAATCAAACATAATATCACCATTCTTTATTGCATCATTTATATAAATAACATGAAGTGTATTGACATAGAAATATTTTAAAATACTTTACAAATAATTGTATTATATACATAATTATTGATGAGAATACATATGTAGTGCTGAGTATTCATAGATTTGTAAAAATATCACATTCACTGACAAATACAAAATAATAAACACTGTTGATGTGCCTGAAAGTAGCTATCACAGCATTGGCTTCGTTAACACACAACATTATTTTATGCAAAATACGTATAAATATCCGTATTTATGCCCTCAAATAAAATTTACTTTACTATAACTAAGTGTGAATGTATTAACGTTTCAACGTATTTTACATGCTCTTGAACTTTGATTAATACTGAACAATAGTGCTTAAATACTTTATACTCCACAAAGTTCGGACATAAAAAATTATATAATCTTCCAAATTAGTACAGGTTTACCAAAAAGTATAATATTTAATGTATTAAAGAATAAAATGTAATGAAAAAACAGACAGCATTCAAAATTTTTAATTACTGATTTCATTTCAAGCCCAATTTATATTATTTATAAGAGACTACTAATACATACTATAAAAATACAGGTACAGTGAGCCCCCAGATTTATGTCCTAATTGGTTCCAGGGTGTGTGATGTAAGTCAGGGTACAAAGGGTGAACATGTATGTATGTATTATACATTTTCTTAAAAATGTATAAAAATAATAGAAGAGATTAAATGTAGCAAATGTTTATGAAGAATTGAAGACACATGATGTTCACAAATAATATTGGAACAAAATATGTTCCTTATCTTTAAGAAATGCTCTTATAGTTGTTTCTGACAAATTTATTTTGTAGTTAATTTGGAAACCTTGTATTCCGTTATTAAAAAGTTTTATTATCTCTGATTTAGTTTCTAAACCTATAGTATTTTTTTTTAACAATATAATTTAAAGATGAGGACATCTGATGCTACAATACCATTACACATATATAAATAATGATCTTAACTCTCGATTAATTACACTTGTGCACGTATGTTAATATAAATATATAATTTGAAATTATTTACCCATAAAAATTCTTTACTCAAGTAAATTTCAGAGTGATTCAGTTAAAACTAAGCACGTAGAGCAAGAAATATTGGTTAAAAACAATTGACTACCGTGTTGCATGAAGACGACGTAACTGTGAAAGGACGTAAATCAGAAGGACGTAACTCGGGGCCCCACTGTATCTTGATAATATTTTTTCAATTCATAATTTAGTCAGTCCGATTTTTACATGTCTCTGCTACAAATGATCTAAAAAAATGTCACATATTATTAAAATGTATTATCAATATAATAAATGAAATTATAAGTAAAATTTACCTAATTATATTAGGTAGTTTTTCATAGCGGCATATATATTTATGCCCAAGACCATGTGACGAATCTATTCGTGTAAATTGAATTTGATTGGTACCATTACCGTGATAATTTATACCTGCTTTGTATAACTGAAAGTGCAAATATAGCATCATTATTACTTCAGTACAGAACTTCCATAAAAATATCAAGATATTTCCATACTTTTTCACCCAAGGAAAATGGTATAACATTATCATCTTCTGCATGTAATATCATAATTGAACACTGAACATTTTTTATGTGCTCATCTGATTCGAAACGAAGATTATTATAATAAAATGGTTCCACAATAACCCAATGAAACCATGGTAAATGTTTAAAAATCTTGAAAATAAAAAAGTAATATATATATAAATTAATACATACCAAAATTTAATTATGCTAGAGAATACCTGTGCTAATGGATGTACGCTTAATTCTTCTGCGATATTATTAAATGGTGCTTCCAAGAACAAACCTGCTGGCTGAATATTTTCTTGTGCCAATAATGCTAATACGTGAATGGAGACACTATAAGTAATAAAATCATTCATAAAATTCATCTATCCGCCTTTTACAATATAAAGTTTTCAGAAACAAATTTAAAATATTTACCCAGTGCCTAAAGAATGGCCCCATACAAAAACAGGAGATGATCCATTGACTTTTTTCAACACCCATTCTAATGCATATTTACTATCTTCGACTACTCCTACTTCTGAAAGTTCTACTACTTCGCTGTCACCGTAACCTAGTTCCATGCAAATAAAAAGATGAGTAAATGGTCAAACTGTTTACACGTTTAAGAATCAAGATATTTTACACTTACCTCTATAATCAAAACTTATAACATGATAATCTAATGATTGAAAAAGTTTATATAATTCTAAGCGATGACCACTTGCTCTATTTCCACTATTACCATGCATATAAAGAAAGACAGGTTGTTTTGTATTACTCAATACATTCTCATAATCATTATCAGTTATAATAGTAGAATCATTTAATAATGATTGAGGTAGAACTTGCCTAAAAATACATATTATTCATTTTAAAAAAATAAAAAAAATATAATTCACCTTATATATTTTTCTTACCATACTCCGATTTTTACTTCTTGATCAGTTATTAGATAAAAGTTCCTTGTACCTTTCATTCCAACTGACTCTGGCTTTGAAAAGTCCACATTAAGTGGCCAATGTACTAAAAATATGAAAATAATCATGCACAATAGTAAATCAATTCTAATTGGAAAAAGCAATTTAATAAATGATATGCTTAAATTCTAAATACTTACCAAAATTTAAAAAGAGTATTTTCTTTTGTAAGGAATAAGAATAATGAAATATAATGGGCAAGAGCCCAAATATAACTAAGTATGTAATTATTGATGCTTTCATCATCCAAAATAAATATCTGTAATGCGAATTAAACTTATTCTTTTATAATAGTATTTCGTTAATAATGTAAATAATTAATTAAAAGATCAAATACACTTATGTATAGATAATTGATGTATATTATTATTCTATAGTATATATTGTTTATTTTTATTATTAGAGGATAATGTAATAATATTTATTAGTAAAACATGCTAATAGGTTACAAACAAAGAAAAATACCATTTAAAACACCACAATTTTTGTACAAAACCATTAAAAAAGTGGTAATAAGAATATAACACATTTATGGAATTACCTTTTTAATTCCATAGTGGTTTGATGCATATAAATATAATGAAATTGATAACGAATTCACATGTATGTGAAGCACACAAACTGAACTTTACAAATGAAATTTTAGATAAAGTACTTAAAAAATTTGTCTTTATCTTTTTTATATCACTTAATTATGTATTTCCAAATGTATTTTAATTATATTACAACTTATGGCGAACACTATAATAGAAAATATGTGACAAAAAAAATCACAGTTAATATTACAAAGCGAAAACAGAACAAAGTATAACAAGAGTGTAAAGTACAAAATTATACAAAATTAGTAAAAAGCTTTGAGTAATTCACATGTATACAAGGATTTCAATTTATAGACATTACTAACTTTGTTTGATTCAGAAGATTATTTGCATTATTAGACTTAAAAATTATGTTTAAAACATATGAATACCAGCCAATATTAAGTTATACAATGTAAAACTTCTGTTATCAGAATGAATTATCATGTTTCAAAACATGTTTATATTACCAGTTCCTGATTCTTACCATTTGTTATGCAATTAATATACTTTGAACTTACAATGTTTTTATACAATAACTTGTAGATGTATTTGTGGTAAATATTTGACATTACAATGAAAATATGACATTGATAAACATTGACTATTGAATAAAAAGTGGAAACATTGATTTAAATTTCAAACAAATAAATACATGACTAAATCATGATTACCACATAGCAACTTACATTCCTGTATACCAAATATCAAAAACGATGAATGGCGTCAGTGCTGCTAATAGTAGGTAAGTAGCCTGCATATTTGTTAGTAGCTACCAAATTTAAGGCACCTTTTTAATTCCTCCTTTTAAGGTAATTTAGTTACGTAGAAGTTGTTTGAAGGAATTACTATAGAATAATGATACATAGAAAATGATTATAAATAAATATATAATATAACTTGTTGTCCTTTTCATTTTTTAATGTTTAATTATTATAATTATTATAATTATATACATAAATCACAAAGTTCATAACATATTATTTCCTAACAGTGAAAAAATTTCTTACATCATTATGAAATCGTCATTTACATAACTTAACAAAAATATAAATGTTTATAATAATTCATAATTATTTTTATGAAATAAATGATAAACATAAAGAATGGTTTAGAAATATTAATCAATATATAATACTATTTACCTATATTCAAAACTTGACACTATTATCTATACTTGAAAATTTAAAAATATCTATATTTAATAATACACAGCTGTGAGCAACCTTTTCTACAATATTCTTTCTTAGTAACAAATATCATGAGTAAAAGTACTTATCTTAAATAAATTTTTATGTTCATTTTCGCATGTTTGCAAACTTTTAATTAAATGTTCCTTATCATATTAGTTATACAATAATGAAATAATAATTGTTAAACAAACCATTTCGTAACTTTTTACATTTTAAAATTTTAAATTTGTGAGATTACATCTACTTGGTGTTTGTTTTAGAGAATTAGTTTTATTATTGCAAATTGATCGGTAAATTGAAAGATTAAAATATTAGTTACTGCAAACGGACAGGTGGTCTATGTAATACCAAAAATGAAATATAAACTGATAAAGTCATAATACCTTTTTTTGAAACGTTTCTTTGGTAGCCAATATACCATAATAATAGCAATTTAATAATGTTTACAGAGAAGACAGTATCCCTCTGAACAAAGAATGGAGACACCAATTTATATAAGTACACTTTGATTTCAATCAAATGTCAAACATATAGAGTAAAATACTTTAACTGACACACATTTTATTTTAAATAATGATAAAGCTTTTAAACTTAAAAAATTTGATTTAAAATATTATTCAAATAACAAATGTTTATTCGTATTTCTTATGCCATTCATCCGTAAGTAGGTACTTAAGTAATATTATAGGGACGTTCTCATGACTACATATATCTAACGATTTCACTTTACATTGACTTGAACTTGCCGTAAATAGGGATGCTAAGGAAAGCGAAAAAATGTAATGATCAAAAGTTATTAAAAAAATTGTTCAATATTCCTCTTATTTAACAATGTTATGATTTCAAAAATTATAAAATAAATTCTTACCAATAAATTATGCTATTTTCTATAAGTTTATATGCTTCTGTATTTATAACAACCAATTTAAAAATATTTAGAGTCTTTTAAATTGTAGATTGCAAATTGTATTGTAGGTTTATCAGAGTATAGTTCGTATGTGAATTGCATATATACGATTTCATTGGTTGAATTAGTTAACAGTCAAAAGGATGACTAAATAAATATCATTTAAACGTATCAACAATATTTTTTTACAGAATTTGTTCATGTTTTCATATATTTAATAATGAAAATATAATTTCTTCTTGCTTAATCGAGAAAAATTATTATTTTTGCGCCACCAGATGAATCAGTTACTAAAAATAGGTATTTTTTAGTCATCTATTGGCTACTGTTTATAAATGAAATTTGTTTTCACTCTTATTTGTACGCTTTAAGCATTAGTGATAATACCTTAAAATATACATAAAACACGTAAAGAATCTACAGAAAACTTTTTATTAATTTAATATCTGAAAGGTATGACTAAAATATTTTAGCAGTGTATTCTAACCTTTTTCAAAAATATTTGTTGGAAGTATGTAAAGGTATTTCAAAAATATATTTTACATATAGCGTTAATTTACAGATGAGTCGCAAGGAAGCATTATCTCAATTTATTCAACAAATCCATGGACGTCCTGTTGTTGTAAAGTTAAATAGTGGTGTAGATTATAGAGGTGAAACATTTGTTTTCAGTCCTTTAAATTACATTATGTGCAAATTGTTTCATTAATTATTGATTTATTGTTCACGTTTTACAGGTGTTTTAGCTTGTCTTGATGGTTACATGAATATAGCATTGGAACAGACAGAAGAATATGTGAATGGTCAATTAAAAGATAAATACGGTGATGCTTTTATTCGTGGTAACAATGTATTATATATCAGTACACAAAAACGTAGAACTTAAATAAAAACAAATATGTAATTTGTATTACGTTTTTATTAATTTAACCTGCACAAATTCTTCAAAACAAGAAAACTACAAAATGTTTGGTAAGAAAATCTTTATATAATATACTTATTCTTATTGAAATGCTACATTAATATTTTCAAGTAACAAAATTTTTTTCTAGCATTTTGTAATTCATATAATAGTTTTCTTTATTCTCTCTATAATATAACCTCTATAAAAGATTTCTTTATTCTTTGCTTTATGCAAATTCATTTTCTAAATTTAGAGCAGCATTGGATATTTGTGTATCATTAGAACTTTTTTGCAATTGTATATCTTCATTATCTCGTAACTTTTTCCTCTCAGCATCTTCTTGCATTGCTTTCAGTCTTTCTTGCCTTCTTTGAAGAGCTTGTTGTCTATTTTTTTCTATACGTTGTTTTACTTCATCACTTAACTGTGTTGAAGTATTACTTTCTTTAATAGCTTGAGAGGTTGTATTGCTTGTTTGTGACAGTAATTTATCGAATAGAGCTTCAGCTGTAGATGTATCAGATGCTGGTTGTTGATTAATCACTTGTTTCTGCTTTTCTATTTGTTCCGCAATTAATAAATCAAATTCATCCATCGGTTCATCTGGTTCTTTTTCATCATTATCTTCATCTACTATATCCCGATTCATCACATTATCATCTGGATTAATCATATCTTGTCTATATTTTTTCACAAACACGGTTAGCTCCCTTTTGGTACCTAGCTTTTCTACTTTCTCCAGGAAAGCATCAAATTCTAATTTTGGAAATAATCTGTGTGCCCAATGTTCTATTCTTTTTAAAATTCTATCCAAATCTAATTTTTCATGTCCTTTGCCATGAAATTTAAACCCTTCAAAATACTTTTCTATAGTTTGTATTCCCTTAGGACCTTTCAAACGTTCTACATTCAACGTGGGTATAGGATTTCTCACTATGTGTTTTCTAGAAGTTGCAGGATCAACTCTCTTTGGAACAGTCTGTCCTTGATTTTCCTCATTTCCTGAACCTTCATCATTGTAACTGTTACCCTCTTCCGCGGCCGAATCGCGTTTCTCATATTCGGCCACAATATCAAGTTCGTCTTCATGATCGGAGGTGTCTGATAAAGTCGGCATAATCAACAAGTTTCTTTCTTAACAGTAAAAAATTCTTAGACAATTGTTGATTACAAGTTTGTACGGAAGAAATTATTCAACAACGTTTTTCCCTCAACTAATGATCCCGCTCTGATAATTGTACGGGCGTAACGGTAATTTTGCCGCCCAACGGTACGCAGGTTATGTTTTGCGATAAATGAATGTATAAATTCTACTTAAAACTCGCCGTCATCCTGTGAATTATGATCATCGTTGTCTTTCTCCATAAATTTATCGAATTCACCATTCGATTTATTCATTCGTTGCAAAAGCGATACTAACAACTTTTTGTTCAAATGATCGGTTTGAGTTATTTCCCGTACAACGGGTTCGCAATTCACATTCGGTGGACGTTCCACTGTTTGCAGTTTCTCCAGTGCGCCGTTTTCTTCTCTCATCGGTGTACCTGGCATTTTTAATTGATTCGTCAAAATATTACGCTCAAAGATTGTAAAATTTCCTGTACTTTACGAAATTCTAGGCGATCGGTAATAACAAACTTACGCGCAAGAACAAATATCGCTGCACTTGCTTATCCTCTCAACTGCGCATGTATCCGTAAATTTCGTACGCGCCATTATACAGTTATTTTCAAATGTCCGGAAATATTCACTAAGTGTACAAAATATTAATATATTAATAAATATATTATTATTAGAGGAAAGGGAAATTCGATTAAGAAGTATGATAAGTCAAAAATAAAATTAACATCAATGTTAAATATAAAAAATAATATTACTATAAACGACTAATTTAGTCAATATTTTACAAGAAGTTTAAAACATAATGATAAGTATTATGTAATATTAGTAACATAAAGCTATTTACATGCTATTTATAATTATGTGTACAGGAAAGAGTATCTGCATATATGCAAACGCAATTTATACCTTTTTAATATTTATTATCAGTAAAACATTCAATTAAAATCGCAAGAGGTTGAAAAAAAGGACGCGGAACTGCGTCAATTCAGGACGAAAAAATGTGTGTTGGGCCCAAAGTAATTTAATGAGGTACAAATGAAGATGCATTTATTTATCAATAGGATAAAAAAAAAGAAAAATAAGCTTCCGCATTAATTTTTATCAAGATTTCCAAAGCCTTGTACCTATATGACCGGCAGTCAATTTCCATACATCATTGCTCACTGATCCCCGCCACATGGCTGCGGAACAATCTTTCGCCGTGTTTCGTGTATGTCCCGGCGAGTAGATCACGAGCCGAGCGTGGATTATCAACGGCGAATACACAGTGTACCCGTCAGTATCGCAAGAACGTTCGTGTCGAGTGGAAGTTGTCGGCCGGAAGGAGGCGAAGGTACGGAGGCAACATAAACCGTTCGCTGCTAGAGTCGCTGTGAAATTATAATTCAAGAAACGTAAAGTCAGGTAGGTATGCGCGTTTCGAGCGTGTCACTAATGCGACGCATGCAATTTCACTGGTTGTTTACGCCTATCCGAATATTTCGCTCGGTACGAATCGTTTCGTTTTTTTTATTTATAGAAAACACCGACGATTACTGTCACGTAAATATTTACGTAGGGCCAACAAGAAATTCGTCTTATTCATACATTCCGCAAACTATCCGGTCAGAAAAATCGCGTCGCGATCGGTTCCATCGGCGATGGACCACCGCGTTCCGTTATTCGAAACGCGACGATTCGGTTCCCGGGATTTTCTGAAGAAAGTTCGGGAAGCATAGAGAGTACGGCACTGATTTCAAAACATTGAACGAATTCCTGTGTGGCGTGATCGTCGGTAACGGGTTGTAAGTTCGTTCCCCACTTTCTGAAGGAGTGGAAACCGCCGATATCGCGTTATCTTAAGTATTACGGACTCTGGGATAGATATAACATCCGTGAGGAATATGTTAGCCCGTCAATTTTCGGATGATGCGACGGCGGAATTGTCGCCCGATGATCTATAGATCGTTTGTTTGGGTAAGCGTAGAGTGTGCGGCTATTGACGTGCCCGGTTGCCTGGTATCGGATGTTCGAACCGGCATCGGGAATCGACCAATCGCGTGGCACAACGTCAATAAGGAAAACTCAATTATTGTACCTGCTCAGATACTATTAACATTTACTCTAGATCACGTACGTCATAGTGAAATTGCGAGATGGACATTGCTCATGGATCCTAGGACACGTTCACGGTCACCACGTGGTCGTTCTTTAACCCATCGCCGCAAACGACGGCTATAGCCGTCGATTTTTTTGGCGATATATAGGCAAATTACGGCTATAGCCGTTCTTACGGTCTTCTTATTTCATACTTTCATTAACACGTTGGATGCCACGGAGGTCACCGATGACCTCAACAAAATCGAACTGCTATAATTCATGCGGTTAAACTATGATTATTTGAACACTTTTCTATGTTACATGCAATACCACCTAATGCAGTGACATTCGACAAGATAAACCCGCAATAATAATAACGCAATTCAATTACATAAGTTGATACTACATTATTTTCGTTTTGTATATTTTTCTCGGCAAAATCGTGCGGCACTCAACGTTTTAATAAGAAAAAAACATTATTAGTGCGCATTTATTTGTTTATTTAGTACACTGAACAAAAATGACGTCGATGTACGATTTTTTCATGAACAAGTCGAAAGGAATAATTAAAGAAGAAACTGCGTTTCTGGGCACGATTTTGAAACTAAAAGTGTGGCAATGGGTTAATTTAACGAGTGTGAATTGTGAGAGGAATTGACCTTCGTTAGAAAAAAATCTGGTTCTATTTGCTTGAATGAATTTTTACATCCTCCGGAGTTTTAGTACCATCCTGTACCGGAACAATTGTGCGATTATATATCGGTCGTTGATGATGCAATTGTAACAAATCATTTATGTGTGGACGTCCGTTCGAAAAACGAATGTACTATCTATCAATTGACTCATTGAAATGCTAAAAAAATGCATGTTACTAATGTGACATTGTATCAGCGAGAAGGCACTTTAAAAGTTTGACGTCAAAAGATTGAAGTTTTCTGACATCGACGACATTGTTCGAATATGCAATAGATATTGTAAATATGAGTCTTCAATTTTTTAACAGTTTAATCTTCCATTTGAGAAACCACCAATTAAATGAAATGAAATGTATTCATATCTTTCTTATGCGCAGCATTTTAAAATATCAAGCAGATCCTCATTATTTATCTAGGTCGTAAATATACAACTTTTGCAAATAGCTTTAGAAATTTTAAACATATATACATCATTGAATCACTGTTTAAAAAGGAACGAAAATAAGAACCTGTTTTGAACAAGTAATGCGCAAATACAAATTTACTTCGATACATCTTTGGTCAAAGGTTAATCACGATTTTGCGCGCCGATTAAGAATGTATCGTATTAAAATACAATGCAAATTTTACATGATCTTGTAATTAATCAGCGTATCAGTAAAAAGTGATAAATAGAAAACAATATAAAAATAAATACATAAACATTCAAGATAACAATTGAAGATTACATCTGAGGAATATAACCGTCTCTTAAGGACATTCTCGTTTTTTCGTTCTTTTGTTATCGCTTATCATTTGTAATCGAAGGAAAGATTCGAGTAAACGAGTAGTACCGACAAAACGGTCCTCTTGGTGTCTACTTTTAACTAGTAACATTTATTAGTAATAATCCCGCTGCGTGATTTCGTTTATCAATGAAGGTATCATGCATTCTGGTAATGTTTCATTTAACGTTTAATTCATTTATCTGGATTTCTTTATTTAGTATCGGTAACACGTCGATACTCGTAACTGGCCTTCGTTCGGTAATTCCATAAAGCAAATTATTCGAGCGCATAGACCCACTTTCCGCGTTCAAACGAATCACCGGCGGTTAACGGTACTGTCTTCAACAGAACACAGAGAAAGAAAATTACAATATAAGAAAAGTTCGCGAACACGGCGATGTCAGCTAAGACATTGTCTTTGTTCCTATATGAAATTTTGAATCTGTTCAGATACTTTACGGTCGATCACATAAATACCTAGTGCTTCTGACATATTTATAACCAGTTAAGATATTCTTTATACAAGAACTAATAATAATCTTTAAGATTGTTTGTTCTTCATTTATTAATATTCGAGATTATATTTATTTCTTATTTATTTATACCACTTCTTATAAATTCGTCGGACATTATTTAGTACTGTCCTGATTTACTAAAATATTTACAATTTTTATATTTATCAGTTGGGTTCATTTCATGATACGTAAACCGCATCATCAACGTTCGATAAAGTATTAATTTCGACATAATTTATCAAGAATTAAAATGTAATTGTCCTTCGGATGATTTTCAAATTTTACGTATATCTCTTTTAAAATGATCCTGACGTTTCAAGAATCGTTAATTATTATAATTTACATTAAAGTCAGATTAAGTAATACTTGCAAATTAAAACGGACAGGTTGGACTTTATGCGACATTGGTGATTCACTTATAAGCGATTAAAGTGCTTGGAACCACAGTCAATCATTGTTGGGTATACATATATAAATCAAGCTTATAGATTTAAAGTACGCGTTTCATCCATGCATTTCTAGATTATAGCATGTCTCACACGTGAATCTTCTGAATGCATGTCATTTGGAATGACTATATCGGTGTATCTCTGAATCCATTGACGTCTCTACCTAATATTTTTCTCGTCCTGAGTAATTATTAACCATGACGTACAGACGTATCATTCAATGGTACACAGATAAATGCTGAACTTCATTATGCAATACAAAAAACCAATTTTTATTGCATTTCCAGTAATCATCTAATGAATAACACATCAGTCTTCACGGTTCAGATAATGATTCATTACTGCCTTGTTTCGTCCTGTACAAAATCTACTTACCTATGTACAGTATCGCATGTAAAGTACGATAAAGAAGCGATTATGCAAGGTATGAAACATTACGCGTCATTTCTTGCAAGCCGAATAAATTCTATGACGTTCCGCTAGCATTCGTAAAATAAATCGTTGTCCCTTTTTTGGCCACAACCTCAATACAGAGGTATATCGAATTTTACATAGGGAACAGATCCATTTATACGAGCATACAACAGTTTTTCCTGAAACAAAGTACGAATGAACAAAACATTCTACGCTTGAATATACCGCCGAAAGGTGGTGTGATGTTCTATTATTGATTTTGGCGAGTCCGTCAGTTTCGCTCGTGGTATTCTAACGCGTTACCTCGAAAGTCGCCAACATGGTAATCCTACTTTTTAAAGGTAATTTTTATAACTAAATAAGACAAAATAGTCCGTTCCCCGCGTGCAAACTAACATCTACGAAATTTGAATAATATCCCACAGTAGAAGCGGCTTTTAACATAGTTTTGCAGTCATCGAAAGGGTGGCATTGTCTAGAACAAATTCAATCGATCAATGAAACATTCATAATTTAATAACCACGCATTTGCGCCGCGTATTTCCCGGCGAAAATCTACTACGAACATTTACCAACTTCGTTATAAATTAATAATTGATTACATATTAATTCCATGCCTTGCAGTTGCTTGGTAGCATAAAAACAAGTGTTCTGTCATTAATTTTGAATTGTAAATGACCCCATCAATAATTGCATACATTGCGGAACATAAATTTTTCATATTAATTCAGAACACATTTGTATCTTACAAATTTCATTGAAAGGTTCAGAAATTCTCGTCCACCATTTATTTATTCCGAACGCGGACGAAGAAAGTCAAATTACATCCGTTATGTATTCTTGAGTATTATCCTGATCATTATTACGATGCCAATTAAATTATTATAATGAAATTATTAAACGAGACTCATTATGCGGTGTCTGGACACACAAAGATTTGTAAATAAGTAAATACTGTGGCCTTCAGGGTGTGGGCTGGCACTATAATAAGCGTATACAGATAGTACACATAATATACATTAAAATTGCGTGGGAGGCAGGCGGTAAATTCAAAGGACATTCGGGTTTCCGTGAAATGATGCTCCGCTCGGAATGATCCATAAATTCGACGGCATTAATCTAGATAATGTTTGGTACATTACATAAGTCGGTGTGCAATTTAAATCAGTTGCTTCTATTAAATTTCCAAAACTATAAAAACTATAGAAAAACTATAGTAAAACTATAAAATTTGATATTTAATATTATACCTTATATTCTCAATTTGAGAAATATTGAAATAAAATAACTTTGTTCCTCGATGTACGTATGATTTCTCTGCGAGTTCCACTAAATATCGTGTTTCTCTTATCAGAAAATGTTGAAGTGTTTCTAGTGAAAAGCTTCCGAGTGCAAAGAGTTAAGCACCAACGATGCCAACAATACAGGATAAAAAGCGTGCTCGGTGTTTATTGTATCAATAGATCAGACTGTGCAGTAAATAAACGACAATGATCGGTGATCTATCCGCGCAGGGTGTCACGCGTGAAGCTTGCGATCGACAGCACCATCAGAATCAGACTTAAACGATGTTCTACCCTTCTCTTATTTACTGCTCGTTCTTGTGATTTATTACTATTACTTTATGTAACATTCTTGTATATATAAATGTTAATATCTATAAACTGTACTTTGACCGCGCATCGCCTGATGTCTCGAAGTGTTAAAGGAAAGAGGAGAAGGAAAAAAAAGCTTAATACACGTGATACACATGCCAGCGATAATATACATCCTCGCTGGCATATAAACTTTCTATAGCACGAAAATGTTTGTCAGACATCAATATTGGCCACAGTTACGGAAATCATCGTCGATCGAATAATAAAAAAGAATTTTATATGGGTACCGACTCAAAGTACATTTTCCGTTTCGGAAAAGAACTTGTTTACGTTTTTAGGAAAGCTGTTTTTTGTTTTCTTACGTAAGAAAAGTATGAATAAAAAACGGCAATGATGAATGTTAAGTCTGGTGGAAAGAAAGGTTTTAATTTCTGTTACTAGTTATATTAGATATCGCAATCCAAGTGTCGAAATATTCTTAATAATGTACTTTAATCTCATCCGACTTCCGTAGCAATGTTCTTTTATCTGATTTATGGTGACCACTCAAACGAGCGAATAACAATATAAAAATATTTAATGCGAATCGGAACTAAAATTATATTTATTATAGTTTTATACGCTAAAGTTGTTGTTTTTATCTTGCGATTTGGTAAAAATCCGAAGATTATTTAAATCACTGTATCGCTGAAATACAGATGATAATGTATATAATGATTTTTATACGAGAGTGGTATCATCGATGACCTTTAACATTCCCCAAAGATGAACTCACGCGATCTCACCCACAAGTTCACGATGACCAATCAAATCAGTGTTTGCTTTAATACAATCATATAAATTGAAATATCTACGAACAGTGTTGCGTATATTTGAACCGTTTCATTTTAACTCAATAATCACATTTCATTTCTTATGTAAGAAATTCCGAAATTCATTTTCATTAACTTACCAATCTGATTAGCCAGAGACTTAAACTGAATTAATTAATTAGAATTAAGGGATAAGTTATTAATAACTGATGGATCGATTAATTAGTTTGAAAATTGTTTATTGTTTTAGATAACATGACTGCGGTGCAACCAATTCAAACGAATGGAGCGATTAAGGGGTTCGCGATGAACGAAAAGGTAAATGGATTTGATATAAATTTAAAGAATAAAAGTAATGTACTAATTATTCGATTAAACACTTCATTAGGATAAGGTGGAAAAGGAATATTATGCGAGCTGCAGTGAAACCGGCCTAGATGGTATGTATTTATAAAATCTATTTTGTAAGAGGCTTATTAAATGCGTTTATATCGGAATATGCGTTCTAATTTTTAATTTATTATTGTTACAGGGCCTAATCAAATTTTACAGGCCGACTCAACGACCACAACGATGCCGAACGGACGCGTGCGAATAAAATTAAGCAGAGAAGGCATAGGTTCCACGCCGCCTATATCAGTTCCTGGATTATTATCAAAAATAGCTAATGCATATCCTGATCGAACTGCAATGGTAGCGAGAGCTAACGAAAATGGAGAAAGGAAGACTTATACTTACAAGTACATATTTCAAAAATATAATACTTCTATAATAAATGTATCATTGAGATTTATTTAATTTTTGGATTTCTGTTTTTAGGGAATATGAATACCAAGTAAGAGTTGTAGCTAAGGCTTTCTTAAAACTGGGCTTAGAGCGTTATCACGGTGTCTGTATTATGGGATTCAACAGTCCAGAATGGCTTATTTCAGATCTAGCAGCTATTCATGCAGGGTACAGATTAATATATTTTTAAAAATATACTTCAATTTATTTTAAGATGTACCGTTTACTCATACTTTTTTTTGCTACATTTTCAGAGGTTTTGCTGTTGGAATTTATACTACAAATACACCAGCAGCATGCCAATATTGTGCTGAGAATAGTCGAGCCAATATAATAGTTGTGGAAGATAAAAAACAGTTAGAAAAAATACTGGAAATAAAAAAAAATCTTCCTTACTTGAAAGCAATCATCGTCTATAATGAAGAAACTAAAGAGGAAGATGTTTTGAATGTTAGTAATTGATTTTATAATAGATAATTTTTTAGGTAACTCTATTTCATAAGAATTCTCATATTATAGTGGAAGGATGTAATCAAAATGGGTGAGGAGGAATCTGATGATAAACTGAATGATGTTCTGAAGACAGTTGGTGTAAATGAATGCTGTACTTTGGTTTATACGGTATGAAAACTCAATCCTAATATAGATTATTAATTCTAAATGACTTTATAAGTTCATATAATAAATGCAATGCATATGCAAAATATATAAATCTATTTTTACTTATAGTCAGGTACAGTCGGAAATCCAAAGGCTGTGATGTTGAGTCATGATAATTTAATATATAACGCAATATCTATAATTGATACTTGTAAATTTGAATATGGAAAAGAAACTCTAATTAGTTATCTACCACTATCTCACGTTGCTGCACAGGTAAGCACAATTATCTATGTAAACTTAAATTTACTATAAGCATTTATATAATTTAATAATTTCAGATAATCGATGTATATTGTTGCTTAGTAATAGCAGCTACAGTATACTTTGCTGATAAAAATGCGCTGAAAGGTACATTAGTTGACACCTTAGTTGTGGCACAACCTACTATCTTCATAGGTGTACCTAGGGTATGGGAAAAAATTTATGAAAAAATGCAATCAGTTGCACGTAATAATGGTGTGATAAAAACATGGATTGCTTCTTGGGCAAAGTCTCAAGGGTTATTTTACAATATGAATAAATTGAATGGCACGGATTTCAAGCACTGGGGCTATCTATTTGCTAAATGGTTAGTTTTTAACAAAGTGAAAGCAACACTTGGTTTAAATAGGTGCAACCTATGCTTTTCTGCAGCTGCACCATTAAGTACAGAAATTAAGAAGTACTTCCTGAGCTTGGATTTTGTTGTGTTGGAAGCATATGGAATGTCCGAATGCAGTGGTGCACATATTTTAAGTACAAATGAAAACTGCAGGTATGTATTATCATTTCAATAGAGTATTTCACTGCTGTGCTAAGAGTACTAATTGCTACTTGCTAATATTGTTAACAAAAAATAGTACTGGCAAATAATTTTAACAGCTCAGTTATACAATGCAAAATAAAAGTGTGATATATAATACTTTTTATATCTAGGCTAGGTTCTGTAGGTATGACGCTACCTGGACTTTCAACAAAATTGGATAAACCAGATAGCTCCGGTGAGGGAGAAATTTGTCTAAAAGGTAGACATGTATTTATGGGATACTTAATGGAACCTGCAAAAACTGCAGAAATTTTTGGTGAAGATGGATGGTTACATAGTGGTGATACAGGCACAGAAGACTCAGATGGATATGTGTATATAACAGGTATTTTTTATAATATAAATACATAATTTTAACTTAGTTAATGCTATTCTCATAACAATTATTTTATCAACCCTTAGGAAGAATTAAAGAATTAATTATTACTGCTGGTGGAGAAAATATTCCTCCAGTTCATATAGAACAATTAGTGTTAGCTGAATTACCTGCATTAAGCAATGCTTTATTAATTGGAGACAAAAGAAAATATCTTACTATATTGGTTACTTTAAAGGTAAAAATATTATCTTCTTTATACATTGTGTAAGTATTGTTTTTAACGATCTTTCATAAATGTATTTATTTAGACTGAAATGGACAATGAAACGGGTGCACCAAAAGATGAGTTTACGCCAGATACTTTGAAATGGTTGCAGTCTATTGGAAGTCAGGCAAAAACAGTTTCAGAAGTTATCAATTCACGTGACCCAGTTGTAAGTACCATTGCCATTACTAATTATTATAATTTATATAATAATGTAATATTTAACTCAGATATATATAAATTCTACCACCTTTTTCAGGTATATGATGAAATTGATAAGGCAATTAAAAGAGCAAATTTAAAGGTTATAAGTAATGCACAAAAAGTTCAGAAATTCCAAATTTTGCCACATGACTTCTCACTACCAACAGGTGAATTAGGACCAACTCTTAAAGTAAAGAGAAATGTTGTCCACAAAATGTACAAAGACCTAATAGACGACATGTACAAGTAAATATGTCACATGAAAATGTGTTAAATGTATCCTTCAAAAAAGTTACAATATTATCACAAAAATACATACTGAAGCAATTGCCAATCAGCCTATATAAAATGCTTTAATATTTAAAGTAATTGTGATATTATACAAGTAAAAAACTGAAATTTAATGACAATTTATTTTTAACATTTTTCAATAATTCAAGTTTCAAAGTACAGTTTGAAATACTTTTCTGCATCAAACAACAATTTTCTAATCAATAAATATTTCAATATGAAGAAACTAATCTTGAATATACTTGTTTATTTTATAAGGAGTTTTATTGTTACATTAAGGTGTAAAGTTTTTAATAATTGGCCATATAATATCAAATATATTTGAAAATATGTCCTAGACATATATTATGAAAGAAATTTTATATATCTTTTAGTATAATAAAATTATACAGTTTGTTGGAACAAAGTACTTTGTTGCTAACGTATCAGTTTCTCTGACAATAAAAATAACTCTAATTATCTTTTCTTAAAATTCGAACACAAAGTTGAGAAAAGTAAACAAAATTTAGAAAATTTATGAAACATGATAATAGATAAGTGCCTCTTGTGTACCAGTACAAATAATAAATATGTTAGTATTTAATAGAATTAATATATATTAAGTACTATTATACTATTTGCACTTACACTTTTATAAAAAACATATTTAATACATCAGTGGGAAATGTTACTTAAGTCGTACATATGTTAAATATTTCATTTATATTTTGAAAAATAGAAAAATAGTTACTGATTTTTCTGTTCACTTGAATACGTTTTATCACTGTGCAAATGAATTAGTGTAAAAAAATTATGTTATTCATGAACTAAGGTAATTAATTTTTACCCTGAATATTATAGATTAGAAATAGTGTGCACATACTTATTTTTTGTTGTTACTACATTTAATTATTAATGTGATAACAAACACACTATTTAGATAATATGTACAATACAACCTAAAGTCATTGGTAATGTTACAATAAAAATTATACAAGCAAATTCTTTCTGTTTCACATCTTTTTATTTATAAGTGCACTTTTATTATTTTAAAATATATTCATCTCTTTAATACAGGTAAATATATCATTAAATACTCAGCATATTATTCATACAATAAAATAAATTTATTAATATTTCTACACGCTTTAACACACGTATGTATAATAAAAATAATTAATGAAAATTAATAATATGTAGAAGCTTAGTTTGTAAGTATTATATTTCTTCTCTTTTTCATTACTATAATAATGGATAGGTAACTAAACAAATATTATTAAGTTTAAATAGCAATATATTACTAATATAGTTTACAATAACCAAAACAACTGCTATATTTAAGATTGTTTTATGCTACATACAGATTCTTATGACAACCTGACATCTTATATGAAAATAGTCTTACTAAGCACATCACAGCAACTTTGGAAATGCAGATCTGTAAAATGTCTTATCCTGAATTTCTATTGCATATACAAGTGGTTACGTTTACATTACAATCCCTTGTCATCAATTTTAGTCTTCCTTGTATTCCTAAACACCTAGCTTCATTGCTTATTTATATAACAAATTATGAAATTCTACTATCATGCGCTTCTGAATCTAAGATCCAAATTTATTGCTGCCTATAAAAGTAACTCAAATAACTAAAAGATGCATGAGCATTATTTATGTGCTGATACTCCCATATTTCATGAAAAATCAAAACAAAAATGTTTAATACATAATACAAAGTTATACATTACAATTTGTTTCTTTTTTTTTAAGTGTCTTAAAGATCTTTAAAAATAAAACTTTCAGAAAATGCTCTTATAGCACATAATATTAAAAATTTTATACATTACTGGAAACATAACATTCTTGCACTCAAGCTCTGATCATTAGACAAGCATCTAAGAAATATTACAAAAGTAAACTTTTAAAGTAATACCATCTATCAAAATAAAGACATTGTATTGTTTAAAATTTGGATTGCATACAATCGCACCATATCACTGGAGTTGCAATACTTTGAAAATCTTATACGCTATTTATGAAGTAGTCGAGGTATTAAATTTTTGTTGGATTATAGATGTTTTTCGTTGTGGTACAGTTTCAGGTGTAGGTATAGCATCACCTGTTGGCAAAACACCAGCTGGCTTTGGCTTAGCTGTATATTTTTGTTTTGCCATTTGATAATCCCCAGAATCAAAATATTTTTGCTGAAAGCGTTTTATATATTTCTTAGAAACTTTCAATTGTCATATTACTTTATTTAGTTATTAAGTAATACTATTATTCTTAAGCATTTTAATTCATATGAATATCTGGGAAACAAACTGCTATTTAATATATATATTTACCCCTTTAGCTAGCCTCTTCTGCAAAAACGCTGAGTGCCCACTGATTGGACGACCAGTATTTGGAAACTTCGCCTTTAATTTTGCTTCTTCTAACTTTTCAATATCATTTGAGGATAACTACAATAAAAATCATTTCTTAGTTGTGAATACTAGTGAATACATACTTACAAACATTTAAATTTGCCAATACTTAAATGTAAAAAAGTTTTGAAAATAAATTTAAAATAACAACAATGGTATTGCCTTTTAATTGAAATAAATAAAACACTTTTTTCTTTAGAGTGAATTTACCTCAACTGTTTGAGCCAATTCGTTTCCTTGATCGTTGTTCATCCTTGCTGTTTCTAACCACTTTTTTCAGTAATCGTTTTGGGAATACCTCAGTCACCTTTCAAACACAGTTTTTACACTAACGCGTGAAGTACGCAATACAATGACACTAACTTCCTCTCCTTCAATCTAATTTAAAATCAAATAACTATGTAAGATCACAGTTTTCCAAACTTTATTGTTACCGAAAACAAATAACTGTCAATGAAAGCGTATACGAAAGACAGCATCAACGATTCGTAAGTAAGTACAGGGTCATGGATTTCTAGACAGCCGTTACCGGAATTTAATCTAGGTGCGAATTTTCATGACGTACCCAGGTGATAAAAATCACAGTTTAAATAACGAACCATGAACACAGACTGCTTGTTAACTTATATAAGCGATCCCTCATAAAATTTACTATTAGTAAACTACACATGTGCATTTCCGGTTGATAAATATAGTTAAAAGAAAAATTGTAATTCGTGCAGATAATCGCTCATCTTTAACTTGAAAATGGGTCTTAAAATTTCAAATTGAAGCCATGAATTTTCAAGGATCTGTCAACTGAATGTTGCCAAGCATTAAAAAGACTAATTTTAACTCTAAACAAATTCGACTAGTTGAATTGAATTTCAGTTTGAAGCTTACAATCTCCATTTTAACCATTATAATCTCCACAAACATTCGGAGTGCAAATTGACAAAAATGTATGTATTTGAGAACCCTTATAAAAGAGCGCGAGTTGTAACGGTTTTCTAATCGAATGATTGCTTGATGTTTGGGTTCAGTATGGATAATATCAGCAAGGTAAGTTTTATGCATGTCTATGAGATGTTCTTAGCAATGAGGGATATTGCAATATAACTATTTTATATTATAAATTAAATTATAACAAAACTTACATGACAGGTAGAATCATCCTCGCAGAATAGTTCTGTCTGTAGTACAAATTTAAATGCAAAATGTCGTGATGACAGTATTTCTTTAGAAGAACAGTCATTGCTCGAACTCGTGCAAAGAGGAATTTCCGAAACAACTCAAGAAAATATTACATTTAGAAAAGAAATTATACCGTTGTTATCTACCTTAAATCTGGAACCACAATCTTTGCCTAATGATATTAAAGAAGGATTGCAAAAAGTAGCATTAATCTTAAGGTTTGAAAAATTATCTGATCTGGATGACATTGTACTAAGGATAGTGTGTGAAGAGAGGAAAATAGAAGAAAGAAAAAAACAACGAGAAGAGAAACAATTAGCATTATTGTATGATAATCTCTTTAGGAAATATACTAAATTCTCAAAAAAACTCAGTCATTTACAAGAAGCTGTGAATACTATTGAAGAATTTGTGAAGGACAGTCAAAAGGATCAAACGGATAGTTATTGTAATCAAGTTTTACTGTCTACAAAACTGAAAGAATATAAACAAACTGTAGAAAAATTGGAAACTGATTTAACAGAAATGCAAATTGAAGATCTTTACCCACAAAAAATTTTAAATAAATATAATAAATATATGGAAATGTGTGGTGAATTAGCAGAACTTAATCAAGATCTTAATCAATACGGAGATTTACCACCAAACTTACTACAAGCTAAAGCATTAATTGAAGTGAAGCAAGAGGAATACGAAACATTAGAAAAGGTATTCTTAGAGAAGACAAGTTATTCTTAACATTGTTTTAAATTTACAATGTTTTCTTTGTAAGTTATTTCATTTTTGTACAATAATAAACAACAATATTATATTTATAGCTTTTATACAAATAAATTTTATTTAAAAACCATATTTTGATTGTGTCTGTTTTCTAGTCATCCTATTTTGTGCCCATTGATTCTTTAATTCCATTTCCATAGCTTTAGCTTGATGCGCTAAGTATGTGATTTGATGTTTCTTTTTAGATTGTGAATTTACTCCACCCATCATAGAAACAGGTCTTTGTACAGGCTCTTCTGTTAACGCTTTCACTAACCATTCTCGTTCATCTGGTTTGATATCTTCACCATTAATTTCAATAACATTTGCTTCATCAATTTCTTTATTTTTCCTTTTTATACCTCGTTTCCCACAAAGGTATTCAATTGCTTTTTCATCAAAAGCTACATTACCCTCTGTATCAATATTATATTCTTGTTCAGGTATAGGCAATTTTGGGCCTACCTCTGCCTTATTCTTACGTAATATCTCTTCTTTTGATAAGTTCATAACATTACTCACTAATGTTTTTTCGGGTACAATGATATCAGTTTCTTCTACAGTTTTAGTAGAATTATTAGGTAAGTCATTATTAATACAGCTATCACTATCCAACTGATTTTTAACCATAGACTCAGATGTATTTAATTCTTCTTTCAAGCATAACTCACTCATTAAGGAGTTAGATACAACAGGAGTATCCGTTTTTGACAGAGCAAAGAAATCTGTAGAATTATTACCACCAATAGTGTTTCTATCATCTTCATCTTCAGAGTTTGAATCATAAGCTATTTCTATGGAACTTTTCGCAGTAGATTTTGCAGTAGATTTTGTAGTTTTATTTATATCTGAATCCTTTATATCTGTACCCAATGAAGTTTTCATTTGATTTGTTTTTACAACTGTCTTATTAACAACCCTTGGGACTAAATTATTAATAGTTTTAATCTCCATTGTTTTTGGTGGTGGTAAAAGTGCAAAAAGTTTAGTACCTTTCTGAAACCATATATAATTATTTTATTTTATCATATGCAGTAATTATATATTTATATGTGCCTACTTACATTAGAAGGTTTAACTCTATTGGCCCTTGTTTCATTTTCTTTTTCAACATCTTTGAACTAAAATCAATAGAGAATAATAACTTAATGAAAAATGAAATTAAAAGCACCTTCTCAAAAGCATAACCAATATTTATTACCTCAGATAAAGAAGGAACTGTTATTTTAACTGGTACACGGTTCTTTTTCGCAGGTTTCTCAGATCCCAATTGGATTTCTTTTTTTAGAGGAATGTCATCATCTTCCATAATATCTTCTGTTTCTGATATTATCCTTTTTGGTTTAGGTAATTGATCAAAGTGTATTTTTTCTTCCGTATTAGCAACATTTTTTACATGAATCTCTTCTACGAATTCGTCAAGTTTCGATGCAGATAAACTTAATTTGTTCTTTGTTTGTGCAATTACAATTTCATTTGAGGGTTTGCAAACGTTATCGGCATCACAATTATTTCCTTCTTCGTCCGAACTTTCATCACTGCAGCCATAGGCAACAAGACTCATCTTTACGAACAAAAATACTTCTCATTTATATGGAAGCACAATTTTAGTATGACGTATGCATACAAATCATAACCTCAACAATAAGTTGACAGTACTGCAAGTTACAGATTTAAAATTCATAGTACGGGCACTGCCTTAAAATTTATACAGACCTTGTATTTATTTACGCAATGTTATTATTATCTATTGTTTTGAATGACGACACCGTTAACCGTTAAATAAGTACGTAAACAGCAATGCAGATTTAAGAATCTATGGACACAAACATAAACGACGAACTTCAATTTTGGCCTTATTTACTGGTGCCATCTGTTGCAAAATGTTCAAATGTTCAAGAGTAAAAACCGTAAAGTTATGTTACTGACGAGAGACAAAGTAGACTGGATTAATTTTTCAATTTGTGTTGCATGAAATTGCAGTTTAAAGTTTGCACTTTCACATGCAAATGGCACAGCATAATGAAATGAAGTATTCACTTAAGCTGTGTCATCGTATATGAAGTCCAAAAAAATATCAAATCTATCTTATCCTCTATCAATAATAAAATGTTGTACCGATCTTAAACTTATGTTTAGTAGTAACTTCAACGCTTTGCTATGAAGAGCGCTACCAATCAAACAATCACTTGATTGCGCCAAATGATTGTTGCCATAATTTGAATGATGTGTTACAGTTAGAATGGCAAGAATCATTCGCGCCTAATTAAAGTTATTATATATAAATTATTTGACACATAGTCCGATGTTATTAAAAGGTTATTTAAAAACAATGTGTATTATTTACTTTTTGATTTATTGCACATGAATATCCATATTAGCAATCAAAGTATTTAATATACCAATGAATATCATAGCATAAGAGCGAGCTACAATGACGGTTATTGGCTTTCAAGTTGTCTAGTGGAGTAGATTACTTAAGTAGACTAAACTTTGCTTATCCATTAAGAGCGGTTCAATTAATCAGAAATCCTATTTGATATTCTACATAAAAAAGAAATCTATAAAGTGATACTGTTTTTTATTGAAGAATAAAAGAAAGAAATAAAATTATGTAATTTGTGTAGATAATACTAGTTAAATTTTTCTGTATACTTTATCTTTTTGATCGCGATCTAATTTGATTAAATCAATTTTAAATATATAATACATGATATATAGTAGGCACAGTATATATGAGTAATATTGTGTTTCATAAGCCACATAAGTAAACGTTATCGTAATTATCTTACCTAGTTACTTATGATAGGCATAAGATCTTAAATTGCCGCTGATATTAGAAAATCTTCCAGTGCGCGATTAAACCACATAAGCTATTGCGCTCTTTCTACTGTTCTGTACAAATGTTTTCATCAACAGGTAAAATATATAAACGACCAAATATTTTAATGGAAGTATAGTATTTCGTGGAATATACGTTCTTACCACATAAAGATAATTAAATTATTCGTTTAGTGTGTACCGTTATTGATCGAAGAATGTTTTTTGAATAAGTACATTCTTGACGAACGTACATATGCATCAGTCATATGATCTGTCGTAGATCTTTTTTATATTTTGTAGATCAAGTTCACTGTCGCGTTAGAATAATATTTTAAAAAACTAATATAAATGTTATATAATTCAAATAAAAGTGAAATTCGGTTGCATGTTTTGTAAATATTATGTACTTAAAATTCATGTAAAATCCACGTGACTATAAAGTTTACTTGCGGTTTATAACACGCTGCTATTGTAAGTAATGTTTATGTAAACGTTTTCCAGCAAAAAAATTATTTTATCTAACATTTCTTTTTGTTAAATACTTCACAATTAAATTTCTTTATATGTTTTGATATAATTAAATAACTTAATTTCCGAGATACTGTAAATACAAATAATAAATACATATTTTATATTGTAAATTATTTTAAAGTAAGTGAATTTTTGTATTTCTTCATTTATGTAATGTACAAAATTATTTTACAGGTGATAAAAAGGATCCTTGCCCTAAAAATGGCACAGAAGCATTAAAGGAAGAATTTAATCCCACTGGTTAGAGTTCTTCTATATTTTTTTTGAGAGGAAGGTTTTTGAAATTACTGTTCTATGTTTCAACTATTAGATCAATATTTTATAGAACATCAACATATGCGATACAATCCCCTGAAGGGAGAATGGGTACTAGTATCACCACATCGTATGAAGCGACCATGGGGAGGACAAATCGAATTAGATACAGAGGAAGACCTCCCAGATTATGACCCTAATAATCCTCTTTGCCCAGGCAATATTAGAGCTAGTGGACAGGTAATATTTAAATATATTTTTACCAAATTTTGTTGCTTTTACTTTAATTTCAATTTTTATTTTGTCTAGGTAACTCCAATATACGAAAATACATATTCGTTTGTGAATGATTTTCCTGCATTACTGGAATCAGTTCCTAGTCCAAAAAAGTCGGATGATGAATTATTTCAAATGGACTCTGCCAGAGGCACATGTAAAGTAATGTGCTTTCATCCAAAATCAAATGTAACAATAGCCCTTATGCAAGTATTTGAAATCAAGGAAGTGGTTAAACGGTATGTTTGTAGCAAATGTATTTCCCATAATCTCAGTTCTTGGTCAAGAAGTACTGTTCTATATCAGATGGATATTTGAAATGCTTGAATTGGGAGAGAAATGGACTTGGGTTCAAATTTTTGAAAATCGTGGTGCTTTGATGGGATGCAGTAACGCACATCCTCATTGCCAAATTTGGGCCAGTTCTTTTTTGCCAAATGAAGCTAAAATAAAAGATAAATATCTTAGTGATTATTATAATCGCAATAAGAAACCACTTCTGATTGATTACGTGCAAAAAGAACTCCTTAAAAAGGTGAGATACATCAGATACTTACATTATATAATAAAATATCCAATAACTAGGTATGTTATTTAAACAACTACTACTATAGGAGCGGATTGTATTGGAAAATCGAGATTGGGTAGTTTTAGTACCATTCTGGGCAATATGGCCATACGAGACAATGGTACTACCTAAAAAGCAAGTATCCAGAATGCAAGATTTAACAGAAAGTCAACAAGAATCACTAGCAGTTATTATGAAAAGATTATGTACAAAATATGATAATTTATTTAATTGCCCTTTTCCTTACTCCATGGGTTGGCACGGTATAATGGAATATTTTTTACTATATTCATTCATTATGAAAAAGATTCCTACATTACAAATGAAACTATGTATATTTATTTTTGGTTAAAGGTGCACCAACTGGTCCATATGTAAGGCAAGATTATCCTTATTGGACTTTTCATGGAATTTATTTACCTCCTTTGTTACGATCTGCAACTATAAAGAAACATATGGTTGGCTATGAGCTTCTTGCACAAGCACAAAGAGACTTAACACCGGAACAAGCGGCGGACAAATTAAGAAGTTTACCCGATTTTCATTACAAATATCCGGAGACAAGTTTAAGTAGTTGTGAAATAGAAAAATATTCTGAATGAATTAATTTACTTTACATATAATAATATATTTTTGTAGTTGTGAATGTTTCTCCATATATACGTTATTTACAAGACCGTATATTGCTGAATTATGTACACATAAACTTTATGAATAAAAAGCATAACAAACACGTTGAATATATTTTTAATTTCACATAATCAATATACAGGAAATGTCTGATCAATTTTTTTGCTCCAAGCATGAATTCCTCCAATAATGTCTTTTATTTCCAAATTAGTTTCATTAAATATTTTTTGCAGATGCTTCACAGCTTTTTGTGAATCGTTACCTCTTCTGCACATAACGTATACTAAAATAATATATATTTTAAGTGAAAGTTATAGTATTTTAAAACATTTAAATATATATTTGAATACTTACATCCAATTTCATCATGCTCTTCTTTTATTTCTTCTACTTTATTTTTTATGAACATTATTTTTTCATTGCTATTAATTTTATTCAGTGGTACATTTACAGAATTCTTCAAATGACAAATTTCAAATTCCTCAGGTGAGCGCACATCAATTAACATGTGAGGTTTTTTACCTAATTTCAATGCAGTATTATATTCTTCCACACTAATTCTTTCTTCCTTTTGCAATATATTCAAATTTGGATCCTTGTCGTTTGCTTTTGCACCACAAAACTGTTCGTAATCAATTAAGATTTGAATTGTTGGAAAGTTCCCGCATACAGCACAATTTGCATTTTTAGGTCGTAAATTAATATTGCGGAACTTCATTTCTAAACCATCAAATAAAAGTAATTGACCAGATAAAACGCACGGCATTTTAAGTACAATTTTAAGTGCCTCTAAAGCTTGAAGAACACCAATTGTACCAACAGCTGTAACAATGTAAAATAAATTAGGTGAACACCCTTACATAAAACAAATATTAAATAAATTAGGTGTATACCTGGACCAAAGACACCGCCATCTCCACAATTTGTTACAGTTTCTGGAGGAGAAGGCTTAGGAAATATGCATCTGTAGCAAGGGCCATTATAATTAAATACAGATAAATGTCCTTCAAATCTTAATGCTGATCCAGAAACTAAGGGCTTTTTACTCAAGACACATGCATCGTTTAGTAAATAACGTGTGGCAACATTATCTGTTGCATCTAATACCACGTCATAACATTCTATTATTTCCATAGCATTATTACTATCTAATTGGACTTTATGTGGAGTAACTTTAATGTTACTATTCATGCTGTAAGGAATACGATGCATTTAAAACAAACATTGATTATCAAATAAAATATACATATAACATTATACTGGTTCACAACTACCGATTCAGATGTTCCGCAGCAGCATTTACTTTAGGTGTTCCTATGTTTGCCTCAGTATATAATAGCTGTCTATGAAGATTATTAATCTCAACATCATCATAGTCAACTATACCAATGTGACCAATACCAGCTGATGTCAAATATAAAGCAGCAGGACATCCAAGACCACCTGCTCCTACAATTAATACTGCACTATTTTTCAATTTTAATTGACCTGCAATTACATAATTAAATCAGTATCTCACTTTTAAAATTGATTTGAATATGAGTTTTCAATTTTTCTGAAATTATATTGACCTTCAATGCCTATTTCTGGTAAAAAAATTTGTCTGCTGTATCTCGATATTTCATCGTTACTTAAACCGTAGTCCTGCAAGATTTGTTTCTCGCGCTTTAAGGTGGTCAGTTGAGCTTCTTTTGCGCGTAATAACTTACGCAGCTCCGCAATTTCATCAATCAATTCCTTTTCATTCATCTTAGTTGAGTGAATTTTTCAACACAAATTATTACTCTATCCTCTAAAAATTTAATAGAAACATTGCTTTGAAATCCTCCATTACAGAAAAACTAGAAATTCGGTTAGGTTATATCGACATCCACTTGAAAGAAAAAGCTGGACAGTTAAATTATTACAATGCAGGATTAATTACTATAGAATACGTGATACGATAGGTAAGCTCAATTTAAATTCCAGCGAACAAAGCAAATAGAATTATTTCATAACCTTCATTGGGTTAAAGTGGGTTTAGTGATCAAGTGGTTTCCAGTGTGAAGCGTGGATGACACTAGTCACATTCTATGTTGGTGCACGTATAAATTGTCAATTATATCATCGTCATTAATCTTTCATCATGTTATCGTAGTATGTGAAGCGGGTTTTTTTAATGACTTGTACTCAGTAGAAATGAATGCAATGAAAATCACAGTATAGGATAAATCATCTTAAACTGATCTTTTTGAAATAGCTTTATTACTCTGGTTGAAAACACATTAAACTTTTGTAATGTAATGTTTGTAATGAAAGAAATATATTAGTTCGTATCAAAAATTACAAGTGAAATTAATACGGAACTGTCGTCACAGCTATTCAAGATCAGTGTATGAAATTACATCCACTTTGGACTCATTGTATTATCGCGTGATATTCGACGAGTGGTTAAAAAGTATTAAAAGAAAAGAAAGCAGAGAAAGCTGAAACGATCGACAGGAGCTAGTCTTCTGGAAATCACGATGCACTTGATTCCAATAATCTTCGTGATGTCTGCGTGTTTATTCGGGCAGTGTCGTGCGCAATAAGTAGAGTACAGTCTTGGGCAAAGGTAGGAAGCTGATGATTAATGTCACGGCCAGCAAGATTCTCACTCTTGACAAGTGTATACAGCAAAATCATGATTCTTTAAGTGACAACGCGAGCGTCGCATGCAAGGAAGTTTTATCGTAACGAATATCAAGATGGTGGAACCAATTTTTGACTATCAGTTTCGTTTGATACTCATCGGCGACAGTACAGTCGGGAAAAGCTCGTTGCTGCAGTATTTCACTGATGGGAAGTTCGCAGAGGTATACAGCGATCCTAACCGTTTCAACAATATAAAAAAAACTGATTCCAAATAAATGGCAATTTTGTCACTCTTCGTTCTTGTGATAATTTTTTTCTTCTTAATTAGCTGCACCATAATTGTAACTGGTTTTCTATCTATTATAAAGATTTTACTTCTAAATCTTAAATCAGTAACACAATTGGAATATTTCCAATTTCTTAGTTTAATAATAGTTTTATTGGTAGATTGTTATCATTTAGGGAAATGAAGTTTCAATGCAATATTTTGATATTTATGAAATTTCAATAAATTGATTTTCCTGATTGTTTGTATTCATATTATGCGATGATAGGTTAGTGGAACAATTAAACATGTCGTAATATTTGAGTTGGAGGTATTTTTAATGGAAAATTGGAAATGCTTAAAGATTTTTTTATTCAGTCAATAATGTAATTTTCTTAGAAATCTGTATTGAGATTTCTTAGAAATCTGTATTCCCATTTGATTTGTTACAATTAAAATGTATTTATTATTTAAACATGTTTACAAGAATTTAAATTCACAAAGAAATAATCGGTATAATTACGAAGAAATTACTAAATTGATAATGAAATAAACACCTTGTACATATACTGTAATTCAGCTTTCAGACCCGACAGTTGGGGTTGATTTTTTTGCCAGATTAATTGAAGTTAAAGATGGTACAAGAATAAAATTACAGTTATGGGATACAGCTGGCCAAGAAAGATTTAGGTGTGTAATTCATTAACTGTTATTAATAAATTAAGAAATACATTTATATTTTTTAAATATAATTTTCAATTAAATGGTTATGTAATTTATAATAATAGGGAAATGCTTTCTTTATCTCAGGTCGATTACGAAATCTTATTATAGAAATTCTGTTGGAGCATTGCTTGTATATGATGTTTGCAACAGAGTGAGTTTTGAACATATTCCTCAATGGATGATGGAAGCTAGAAGGCATATAGAACCACACCGTCCTGTATTTGCATTGGTAGGTTGTAAATTAGACTTAATCACCAATGGAGGTAGACGAGAGGTTTCAAAAGAGGAAGCAAGGGCCTTTGCTGATCAATACGGTGTGCATCACATTGAAACTAGTTCAAAAACTGGGGTAAATGTTGAAGAAGCATTTCGAACGGTGACACAGGAAGTTTATAACAGAATACGAAGTGGAGAGTACAAGGTAGAAGATGGTTGGGGCGGTATTAAAACTGGATTTGCTAGACCTGGTGGTCTAGATTTTAATTTAGTTGAGGCAGAACCAGCAAAAAGTTCTTGTTGTTAAGTTAATGTTGTCTTTACTCTAAAGGATAAAAGTTTTCTAGAATGCAGTGGTAATATTAAATTTATATACTATAATAAGATTTTATTGTAATTTTGTACATTATTTTATAGAATTCAATTTATATACACATTAATGAAATTTTATGTACATACCTGTATTTAGTTGATCATTTAAATTAATCATTGAGAAATTACATGCCACTGCATTCTTGCCCTAGGGAAGAGACAAATTTTAACTGAGCCTCTAGTAATTGTTCTTGTACATAGCTTGTATAAATAATTTTATCTATATCTATCTATATATACATATATATATGTGTATATATAAATATATGTATTTATATGAATATATATATATATATACATATCTATGTGTACACATACACACAAGTAATTGAATCATGTAGGCATTGAAGTAGGGAGTGTTTTCTAATTTCATTTAAAAGACAAAATATATAAATATGAAAAAAGTTCATGTTCTGAACATAAATTTAGTACACTGTTTTTATGTATTTTCTCGTGTAAATCAACTGTTCTTTTGAATGAAGGAAATAACTGGCTGTGCTTCTTTGTTGAAATGCTTTCTTCAATGAAAGTATATTACTGAATGTGTATAATAAAAAGTGTGTAATTTTTTCTTGACAACACAAAATATTAAATTATGATAAGTTAAACTTTGAGAGAAATTTTAAATATGCAAATGAAATTCATTGCTCTTTATATATTGTACATATATAAATTAGTAATGGAATACTTATACTAGATTCTTGTTGATTGACTTCACTAATCATTTTTTGTTTTTAGTGCCACAGTTTGTGATAATTAGACTGCGGATTTTATGTATTTGTAGTATATTCTATTACCTAAAACTTGGTATAATAAAAAGTTTAATAAACTTTAATTAGTGTTTTATTTTATTTGGAACATGATAAACTTTTAATAGAGTAAATAAACTTCTACTTGATATCAATTTTTGTATATTGGTCTGTAAAAATCTATGTTTGCATAAACATCAGCAGTCTAGTGGTAATATTAAACATACACGAGAAGCCAAATTAATATGTACTTTGCTACTATTTGTATTCAATTAAAAGCTAACAGAAAGATAAAATACTACAACTGCTTAATTTACAAAAACATACTTTGAAATGAACAAAGAATTTGTGTTCTGATTTGAAACAAGATGTTTATTCTGTACATAGTATTCACACATTTATGTAAAAAAACTTATTAAAAACTCTTGTTATGAAATACCATATTAATTAGTGGGCCTTAATTTATATTAGTATGAACTAATAAACTTCTTTATTATATTTTTATCATAAGGTGTATTGTATAAATGCTATGTCGTGTACAAGGCAAAAAGAATTTTATATAAAGTAGTATAATATTTTTAATATGACCATTTTTTGACCAAGTTGTGTTTTACACTTTTTCATATCTATCTTTAAAACTAAAACATCAGACTTATCTGTCTTTAAAGAAATAATTTAAAAGTATGAACCTTTCCATATTTTTGAAACAGAAGCAAATTACTGAAGTATAAATATTATCTATAGGACTTGCATAACTCACGCGAGTTTAATTGACTAGGAAAATATTTATTTACAATACAGTAACATTATTATACACAGTGTATAATATTTTTTATGTCAAAGGGTGCATTGAATTATCCTTTTATATAAATAGAACAAATGCAGCATGAATAGTGTTCATTTATGAATTTTTATACTCATTAACTGTGGCATAAAGCAAAAATATGTAAATATTTTTCAAGAATTGCCAACTATAATAATATAATCAAATTTGTATAGTTCTCAATACTTATCATTTATATTTTAGCCAATGGATAAAAATAAGACACATGTGCAGTGTTGGAAAATATAGATTAATAAAATGAGTTTTGTAGTTATAGAAACTTCAAATGTGTATATTAGTATTGTCCAAAGTTGTAATAAGTTCCTTTATGTCTTTAAATATTTTTCTGTAAATAGAAATTGTCAATTTTATGTTGAAAATGTGAATTATTACAAATTTCCGAACTACAATATTTAAACACACATGTACATCACACGTATACAGATACATATACACATACATACATGAACTTTCTACAATGTATACCTTGTAATTTGTGTTTTATGGAAATGTAAAATTTGACAAATTTGGAAGTACATATATCTTCGTGCACTATACATTTATATTTATCCATGTTTGAAAATAAACAGTATATCATAGAATTTTACATTATTTTTCTATAATTTACCGTATGAATTTATTGATATTGTTATTTGTGATGTAACATAAAAAATTGTCGTAATTATATACTTATACTGACATGTATAATTTATTGATCACCTTACCAACATATTAAATATTATGTTTTATATACTATATCATTTTTATTTCATAAGACTGTGATCAATAAAGTCATTGAAACAATAACAAGATATAAAATTTTATATTTAATAAATAGTAAGTAAAAAATTATTTATTCAAAAATCACGCAAATAGTATAATTTAATTTGAACTACACAGAATCATTTAACTGAATATTCGCGTTTCAAACCTTTGCTTGAAATACCAAAATATAACAACATATTACTGGCAGTTGGAAAAAATTAATAAATATAGTAGTATCTATGTCTTTAATTTTAGTGTAAAATTATTGAAAGATAAAAAACATATATTTTATATAAAAAATACTTAATCTGTGTAATATATACCATATTCGTATTGTTTTATAGTTAAATTTGTTAAATTATATAAAAATTGTAATTACATGTAACATTCTAAATAAAAAATTATTACATTAATGTAATAATTCACATGGATTATCATTAATAAAAATTATTTATAGTATAATGCTTATAAACATTTTTTTAATCAACTTTTTTACTATTAGAGTTTTATCTAAAGTAGTATTAAAGAGTTTTATTCTTTCAATTACTACTTGAATTCTAATTATAAATCAATAAAATATCTTTACTGTACACATTATAATTCACAATATTAATTATTCACAATAATAGATTTAAATTTAAGGAAAATTATAGTAACAGTAGCTTTATATCTCGTAAAGTTAAATATTCATGTTCTTAATTATTACGAATTCTTAATTTTAATTGTATTAAGCTCACTATTTTGGAAGGGAAATCTAAGTAGTTTAATTGTATTTAAAGTGACTAGAAACGTTACTGCTTTTTTCTATTGCTGTCAATATATTTTTCTTATTTTGGCAAGAATAATGCGATGTAAATATATGAAATCGTGGACAGCTTTTTAGACTTACTATATTCATATATAAGTAATACTTTTTTTCAATAATACTTTTTAAAATTACCTATCTGTACATTTAGTATCGTTTAAGCAATTTAGCTTAGATATTTTATATTTACAAAACATTTTATCATTTGAACTATATACATACAGGTGATCTCATAAAGGAAAGGGAGAATTAAGCTTGCAGTACTGCAGGAAATAAGAAGTTGATACGGAATAACAGGGTACTGACTTTAGTACAGTAAGTCATATAGTTAACATGCGGTTAAGATGAAAAGAATTTTGATCCAAAATTAAAATTCACTTTATGTAAAAATCTAATTGTTCAATTTTTGTTTGGAGCAGGATGATGAAGAAATTTGGGTTAGTATGATAGTGAATAGGGATGTAAAGGAGTCTAAAGAATTATATGAGTGCATGTATTAATGTTATCTTATGATTTGAAGAAATTTGCAGAGATTCATTGTTATTGCAGATCAGAGATTTCGAAGTGTAGAAGGATACATGGAGAAAGAATAATGTTAGATGTAAGAACAGCAACATAGGCACAGAGATATGTCTACATTAAATACCTAGATTTCAGTCTAACCTATTATTCACTGCATACATGCCGAGAGAGTTTAAATCTCCTATCCCCTTATACAAAGTAGAGCTCCAATGTGTCTGTAATACAATACATAAAGAAAGCTCATAAAGACAATCTGAAAATTCTTCCTAAACAAAAGATATTATCCAATTTTTAATTTTTTCAAAGAGTCTCATTATGGAATGTCTTTTCAATTATCTATAATTGAAAAATGTATCTTATTTAAAGGCAACTGTAGAAAAGACTTATTCCATAATGGTTATTTCTACTTTTATAAAATTTGTTGAACACGCAGAATGTTGCATTTATGTACTCAGTGTAGTACTAACATTATATGGAATCACTTATTTTTGTTTTACTGCTCCAGTGACTCGCATCCAAATAAAACGTATTCTTCTCTCGACAACCAAAACGGATTACCTTCTACATATTCAGGCGGAGTTTTTCCTACATTAATTTAGAAAATACTAATTAGACGAATCCATAGAATATATTATTGAATTAATCTCTAGTATGAGCTTACCAGGATGTACAGCTAAAGGCACATAAGTAGAACCCATAGCAACATGCCAACTATGTGTGCCAGGACAATTTCTCACTTCTAAAATTTTACTATGTTCAGATAACAACTCTTGTAGATCTTTAGTTAATCTTAACTCAAAACCTGAAAGATCTGTGTTGCCTCCAGTAAGAAAAATATTTGAGAGGCAATCATACATTAGATCTTCTGATAAACCAGACGTCACATCTTTTATCACTTGTGGTAAACCAAGATTAATATACATCATTTCAGGAGCAATGTATAATTCTGAATCAAAGGAAACTCTCTGAAAGATATTCATAGTTAATTGTCTTTTAAAATTGTATAAAAAGCACAGAAATAGAATTTATTTACCCAATGTTGTTTATAATCAGCAGCATAGCTATCAACTCTAACATTAATATGTTCCCTAGATTTCTGTCCTACTCGTTTTTCCTCATTTTTAATATTATAACTCAACCTACATTTTTCTTTAACAGTTAGCGTATCTAAGTATGATATAGGAATTTGATGATACTCTTTTGGTTGCCAATGCATAGCTTGTTTTAAGTGATAAGCCACATGCCAACCACCTACAGGTAACAACCTCCAACGTTCTGGTACAACACGACCACCAATTACAACAGCTACTGTTGTACTAAGAGCTCCACTATCAACAATGACACAAGTTTCCACACCCAACATTGCACATGCTGCTAAAGGTTTTGGTACCAAACATACCCTGTAACATTCATAACATTTTTACAACAATAATATTTTTCTTTTTTATTATTTTTTAAAACTATATTTACTTTTTATTATGCTAATACCTTGCTACTTTAACTTCTTGAAATAAGTAGTGCAACAACTGTTTTCTAAGTGTTGGATGCATTGCTAATGGTTCACAGAACATAAGCACTGCATTAGGTTTTCTTAGTGTTGATGTTAAATGCATCTGTTGAAATAAATGATCAACAAATGTTTTGAGAACAGTGAAAGATCCATCACTCAATGCTTCCGCAGGACTAACAACATCAACATTTGGAATTCCAAGAACTTCAACTGCATCAGTACAGTATCCATTTATAAGTTTTTCATAAGTTGGATTTGGCCTTGTATAACATGTTGGATCATTTTGGTATGTTGTTAACCTCTTTTTTTCTCTATACAATTTTACTGGATTACAGAAAACACAAAATGGACCGCTGGGTCTTGGAATTTTAGTTTCCAATTCAGACAACTTTAATAATTTTAATTTCTTTACCAATGACTTTCCATCACATTTTGAGCGTGTACTACTGCTTGGAACATTTTGTGTTTGAGTTTGTTCTAAATGTGTTTCATTATTATATTTAGGTATACCAAACATTGATAAATGTCTTCTTAAACCAAAATTTGGCGTAATAACCCATGTGTACTTATTTCCAATTTCAATTACTACTTTTGCACTAGTACCTTCAACACAATTTCTTTGACATGTGTAACCGCTGCAGTGATAACATTTTGGAAACGGTACATTTTCTCCTAATGTGAGTACCATATGTAATCTGTAACACATTGCTTTAAAACTAACGCTAAGTAGTTGCAGACATTTTATGTCTGGAAACCTAAAGTGTACTTTTGAAATTAATTCTTGCCATTTCATTTTCCTATAAACAAACAAAAACAGTTAGTAGAAAAATGTTTTAAAGAATGTACTTTAAAAATGTGTATTAATTTATAAAATTGAAAATAAATGAATAAAAAATAACTTCTGTAAATAATTACGAAATTTACAAAAATTCAACGTAAATTATCTTTTCTTTTTGAAAATTTGAAATGACATAATATTACATTCATTTATCAATTAAGTTGAACTTTAACGTAAGATTGACGTAAACTTAACCTTCAACTTACCATAGGTAATCTGTATCCGAAGTTTTCCTTAAGTATTTGCATGTGCTACCGAAAGCAATAATATCAGGTACATCACAATATAACAAAATTTTTATCCAAATCTCTTCAGGGAAGACTGCTGGATCCATAATTATTAATATAAACGATACAAAAGGTACAATTAACAGTTACTAATACAAGATTGCAGACACTCCCCAGAAACGGTGAATACGCTAGTCAAGTTCAAGGTTACAATGGTGAAAATAGTGAATCAATATGTTATCAACGGATGATACCTCAATAAGAATTACTATAATGGCTATTATATAATCGCTAATACGCAATATTACATGGTGAAAGTAAATGTTACATAGTACGTACGGATATGATGTTATACACATTACTATATGACCATAAAATACTGTAGAAATTACTGATATTTTTTGGGAACTTTTGAGTATGTTATATATACATGTATATGTACATATATATATATATATATATATATATACATACATTTATTTGTACATATATACGTACATACATTTATTTGGAGAATATAGTATGGAAAAAATATAATACATACTTATGCAAAAGTAAAAATTTAATGCAACATCATAAAATAACACTATACCTTATTATGTTGACAAAATACTGTTTGTACATTTAATACTGGCTGTTATCTTAAAAATTTTAATTAATCACATTTTTATTCATGAAGCAACAAGTAGTGCGTCTATATAAGGATTTTTGTGAGAAAGAACTTCTTCTTTGTATGTTGAGATTTTGTTTTTCAACTCTTCATCAGATAAAGTTTTATCTAATGTTCTGCACTTATTAATAAATCCTTTAATAAGTTCTTCAGCTTCCTGAGACATTAATATAAATTATCTATATAATATAAAAATATTAAATGAAATAAATTTAGTTAATTTTAGTAAAATTACCTTAATAATTTTTTGTTTCTCTTGTGGATTATCAGAGCCTTCAAAAACTGAACCCTGGTAATCTTCAAGTTCAGTTTGTTTCTGCTTAGCGAACTACAAGTAAATATTTTTTCCATTAAAATGTACAAAGATTTATATGTAAAGTGTTTACCTCAATGATTTCTGGTGGAAAATTAGCCATTTTTGCAACATGTATTCCGAAGCTTTGATCGCAGACGCCTGGTTTTATTTTGTATAATAAAGTTAGCTTATTATTGTCAACAAGAGCAGTAACATGTTGGTTCTTAACAGCGGTTATTTCATCTTCCAATTTAGTAATTTCATGGAAATGTGTTGCAAAAAGACAGTAGCATTTTATACTTTTTGCTAAGTACCTGCAAAATCATTCAAAATTATATATATATTAAAAGTAGAGAATTAAAACAATGTTCATAACTTACTCAGCAATTGACCACGCTATACCACAACCTTCGTAAGTTGATGTACCTCTTCCTAGCTCATCAATTAATACAAGAGAGTTAGAAGTAGCTGTCTATTGAAAATCTAAATCAGATTGTTTTCTAGATACGGTACAAAATTATTAGTTACTCTAATATACCTTTAGTATAGCAGCAGTTTCGATCATTTCCATCATGAATGTGGAAAGTCCTTTTAATTGTGAATCATCAGCACCTACACGGGCTAATATACAATCCAGTAATGATATTTTTGCTTCGTCACAGGGAACAAAACTTCCAATATGTGCCATTAGCGCGGCGACACCAACAGATCTTATGTATGTGCTTTTACCTCCCATATTAGGACCAGTTATTATACAGAAATGGTATTCTCCTAGAAATAATATATAGATAGTAATATACATATACATCTAAACATAAATGTACAGAATAATAAAAATATTACCTCTTTTAAAATTAACATCATTAGCTATATAATCTACCCCTTCTTGAACTTCTAAGCACGGATGTCGAACTTGGACAAGATTTAATTCACCCGTTTCACTAGGTAGCATATCGGGGCGGACATAAGGTCTATTTGCACTTACAGCAGCAGAAGCAAAAGCAGTAAGTACATCGAGGGAAGCCAACACATTTCCAATCATTTTTATAGGTCCACTGTAGCCAGCTATATGTATGATAAGAAGTGTAATAATTTAATTTACTAAGTTATAATTGATTACTTTTTATAAAGATGAACGTAATAATATGCGCAAACCTGCAATCTCCATTATTTCTGCTACAACTTTTTTCTGTTCTGCCGTATACTTGTCTCTGCATGCAATGTAATCGTCGTTTAAATCAATGAGTTTATTGCTTCGAAATCGTACACCACCTTTATTTGAATCCAAAATAGTGTACTGTTTTTTATTCCTTAATACCTTTTCTTCTTTCAATGTTACACGAAAATAGTAGCCAAGTTGCTGATTGGATTCCAATTTTACCGTTTTCCCAGCTTCAATTGAGAGATCTGCAGCAACTTTACCTAATTGTGCTTTAATTTTTTCTTCTATTTCATCCATAGTACTTTTTAATTCTGAATATAAAGTATTATTAAATTAATATAAATTTATATAATTTAAGAATAAGTATGAATTATATGAATACCTTTTAATTCATCATCAAACTCTGGTCGCACTAAAAAGTCTCCTTTCTCAGCAGCTTCCAAATCAATTGTCTGTTCAGCCATCTGTTGATACTTATCCATATCATTAATAAGTTCTGTTAATGAATCGGTAAACATAGTTTTTAAAGCTACTGTATTTACACTAGATAATTTTTCTACTAATCTTGGTAGATCTGATACACTATTATAAATTCTGAAACAAAAAACAAACATTAATTATTTTTTAATTAAAGTATAAGTAATGTATAAGGTGAATACAATATATTTACTTGTAACAATCTTGTAAAGTTGCTTTCTTTCTGGATAATTTTTTTGAAAGTATCTGTAAATCTGGTATACGTCTTAAATGATCATCACTAAGTCCAGATCGCAATTCGTTGTCATTTACCAATGCTTCAACTATGTCATGTCTCTCTTTAATGAGAGATAAATCTTTCAGAGGCTGTCTGATCCATTGTGCCAGAAGCCTATGACCTTGTGGTGTTCTACATTTATCTAAAAGTGTTAAAATACTCGTAGGTGCATTTCCATTCAATGCAGAAGCAGTATCGGCACGTGGTTCAATGTTAAGTGCTTTTACAGCAGCTCCATCTAATTTTAAATACCGCGAGTGTTCTATTTGATCTATACTAAATTGATTCAAGTTCCCTTCGTCTGATGTTAACTATTAATAAATATCATATTATATCATAATTTAGAAAATGATGAACTTCTATCAGCAAAATAATACAAGACTTACATCCAAATACTTAATAAGAGCAGAAGTAGCTGACATGGCAAGATTTAAATTTATTTCAGGCAAGGACTGCACATTTTGCTGTTGACCGTGTTTGAATTTGATTAAAGTATTTAAATCTTGTACGATTGATTCACTGGAAAACTCATTTTTTTTTCTTACAGTAACCATTACATTGTTTCGTTCCATCACCTGTAAAAATAAACTATAAATTAGTATATTACATACTAGATTGACTTCTAAATCTGTTTTATTTCTTTATTTAACAAATTGTTGCTGCTTATAGCAAAAGTTACTCATGATACAATTTAATATGTGTAAAGTTAATATCTACCTGTTTCAAAGTTTGAAATTCATAACTACCTTCTCCTTGAATTAATAAACATTCTTTAGGGGCAAGTGTAACAACTAGAGATTCCAGATTAGAAAATGATTCGTTTTCTTGAAATTCACAAACAGAAAATAAAGTTGCAGTAGTATCTACACAGCTTAAACCAATCATCTAAAAAATATTGTAAAATTAGTGTAGTTCCATATGATTATTCTTTCATATAAAATATTTTGATTAAAGTTACTCATAATGACTCACTCTGGATTTCCCATCCATTCCTACTTTCACTGCTATGACACGTACTGTTACAGCTACATCGTTGTTACCAAATAGTACATCCTCAAACTGAATTAAATTACCAGGAGAGCCTTTATGTTCTAATACCCAGTTCTGATTTTTTGCTGATCCTTGATTGACATAGATTTCTACTCTGTATTGTTTAACTAATAACAAATCACGGATGAAAGCTTCAAAGTGATTTTTATTTAAAATAACTCCTTCGGTTTTGTATGGATCTGTATCATATATTTACTTTAATAAAAATTGTTTAAGCACTTAGCTCACATTAAAATTAAATACTAAATGTAGATTTTTACCTGAGCCTATCATTTTACAAACTGATGTAGTTTTAAAAATTTCTTGAGCAGCAAAGAGAGCATCGCTACCGTGTAATGTATAATAATCCGATCTATTGAAAAATCGTATAGTGGTATTAAGTTTCTGAAATGAAAAATTGAAATTAATGTCAATGATTTAATTATACGCAGTATGTATGATAAATTACTGTATTAAGAATGTATGACATGAGATTATTTTCCTGTAGCCTTGACCTATTTATGTAAGTTGTTAGTTATATCCTCATTCCACGTAACTATTCTGCTTACAGTACAATCTGTTTCGTCACTATAATTTTTAATTTACCTCACATGCACTGCATAATTTCATATTTATGAAACATTGAAAAATATAAAATATTGAAATGTAACTTTATGAAATTTATTTAAAATCTGTAATACAAATTTGATTAAAATCTTTAATATTTTAGCATTGTACAAAGGCTTTAAAACAGATATTTGATACTATAAACAAGAAAATTGTGATCAGTCTTACTAAATCATAATTATTACGTTTCATATTTCCAAGAAAGTGAAGAATCTTGTTTCATATCTGTAGGTCAATGTCTATCTCGGGGTCAAAGCATCATGCACTGATATTAACGTAATATGTGACTTCAAGGAAATCTGTTATTTTGTGGAAAGTAAATATTAAATTTAAATTGATAGTATATTAGTTTTAATTAAATTTATATGTTAATATTGATTATGAAAAAAATAATGTTTATAAT